AATGATCCATAGTATGGCATATTGAACTTCCTAATTGGATGTTGTTTATCTGATATGCTGGTTTAAAAATATTTAGTTTTAGTAGATGATGTATTAATATCTCTCTTTAGATATTCTTGGATTGCAAAGTATTTTCACCATGTGACTACATGATCTAGATAGCCTTTAAGAGATGTGGCAAAAAATTTACTGAATACTTTTCTTTCTCACTCTTTTTGTTTTTACAATTCTGGCATTTCCAGCTAGTATGGATCCCATAACACAGTAGAAGTTAAACATTTTTGTTGTTTTTTTTGCAGCAAACACCTATTTATCACCCTCAGTCAAACTATCTCCATGGATTTTTCTACCCCTGTGTTTAATTTTCTTTTCTTACCAATCTTGTATATAATCCTGAATAATTTCAGGATTTAAAGCCACTTTTAAGAGAAGCTTTTCCTTAAATCATTGGAACCAGCTGCTTTTAGTTCCCTTCTCTGACTGTGATTTAGTGAACTGGTGGCCTGGGCTGGTGATGTTGCTGTCTAAATTGCGAGATCTCATTCCCTATCCCATCTCTACTCCTATGTCAGGAATCCCTATTTGCCAGATCCTCCTGCAAGTACAGTTGGCTTAATTTAGAACTGAATTTTCTTGTTTTCTGGCTTTGACTTATGTTTGGTTGGTAAACTGAGTCACAAGCAGATATGTACAGAGGTGGTACAAAGCTGATACAAGTGGTGTTGAGTGAAGATGAGTAGCTTGGCCCATGCCTTTTGACAATATTTAGCTATTGAAGAAACTGGCTCATCAAGAAGTAGTGGAAACCAGTTGGGTTGTGTTCAATTACAGCAGACATCTCAATCAAGGGATTACGCTTTATGAGCTTTTTGGATTATGCTTTATGAGCATATCCAAAAATCTAAAAGTTGACCATTTGTAGTAGCACCTGGCCCTACCCCTTGAACCTGATTACTAACAACAAATGCAATCAAGTAATTCTGACTTGGTTGTCACTAATGTTTGGTTGTGTGGTTCATGTAGGCAATTTGAGGTATCATTTATGATTCTTTGTCAACTGCATCAGAGAGCATTTCATTTATGCTTATTTATTTTCACAACTGCTATGCTCCCACCCCCACTTTTGAGCTCATTCTAGCACTAAAAATGAATTGCCCGTAATCCGCTGAAGCCAGCAAGTGTGGCAGCTTCTGCAGAGTCTAGGATCTTCCTGGAAGAAAACATGTTGCTGTACCAGAGCACTGAATTTTTTAATTCAGGCAAGTGTTCAAAGGGGTTCTCCAAGGTGGCTAATAGAAGACCACATGAAAGTGAACAGTATCTCTGTAAATCAAGGTGTAAGCAGACTGTAAGTAGTTCCAAAATAATCTCTACCAGCAGCTGTGTGTTTTTCTGATTTTTTTCATGAGGCTTACATCAGTTTCTTCACCATAGAAATAATCCCACATTATTTTTAACATGTTCCTCACCTTGACCCGATTGCTACTACTACTGTAGCTGGGTTATGGAGATGACAGTGGAGTATACGCTAACAGTATTCTGTATAGATCCAGTAACATCTATGGAGAACAATGAAAGACATACATGATGTGATCTGATACTCATTTGAATTATTACTTGCAAATATCTGGTTAGATATGATTGTGTATCTGTTGTAAATATACAATTCACTTGTGTTTAAGTATAGATAGTGGCAACAATAACCATTAAAATACCTACCTTGCTGGGAGAGAGACAAAGAAGGACTTCCTAAGCTTTAATGGAAGTACAGAGCAAGTATGGAACACTTTTAAATGTTGAAGAGAATAGAAGATCCTTTAACTAAAGGCAAGTGTCCAAAAGAGACATAAACGAGAATTTTAAAACAATTGTATAACCAATCTTTGACTGAACAGATAAAATACTGTTCCTTACAAACACCAACCAAGGTCTTGACAATATTCTATTGCTTTTACAATTCCAGAAAAAAACCAACTGCTAAGACCACAGAATGGAGTAGCAGAAGATTACAAGTTACCGCCAAGCTTTTACAGGTTTGATGCAGAAATCTGTCTTCTGTTCAGAATCTGTTGTGTTTAGCACCATATGCTGTGAATACTTTACAGCTTCTGTGAAGAGGACATAGCAGATACTGCTGCTGCTTGTCATACAAACAAGGTCTTTTTGCTCCACATACTAAAATAATGGCAACAGTAGACTGTTGTCAGTAGTTAAAATAGTGAACATATCTTCTACAAATACCTTTACTGATGACCTGCACAGAAGGTATAGCTAAGTCTATGTTCCTGGGCCCAGAAGGACTCTTAACAGGTAAAACTCAGAACATTTTTTTGCTTATAAACTGATGCTGAGGTAACAGTTACCACTTCAAGAATAGTGTAACACTTCTTTGAAAGCTTGTTTTACAACTTGTGACAACAGCTGGTTTTTCCTAACCTTCAGTAGCATGAAAAGCCAGACACTGCACTGTTGCTACCTACATGAGGGATGAACTCCTTCCTGTAACACATATGGTTTCACATTTGTTTATCAAAACCATGTTACTGTAGGACTGTTTTGAGCTGAAGAATCACTTGGAGGAATGACTAGAAAATGCTATTTGCCAAAAATGTCTTGAATTCTAATGCATGTTTTTGTGGCATCCCTTGGGCAGCAGCTGGCAAAAGCACTGCCACCTTAAGCAATCTGGAAAGGACATAGCTGAGGAAAATTAGGGTACTGGTTCCATATTTCTCTCACTGGGAAACTTACTGTTTCCTGTAAGCAAAGGCTGGTAATTAGGCGTGTGCAGTAGTGACAAGTTTTAGGTCATAGCTAAGACAGGAGACATCCTCCATGTTCTCCCATCATTTTAAAGATACAGCTTCTATTTAGTTTGATGGTCTTCTCAAGTATCTTGCAAAATGCCAAGAAATTAGCTCTAATGGCCCATCATCCTGAATTTTTTTTGTGTTTTCTCCTCTGTGAGAAAGCTGTGGGAAGTACATATTCTTCCCCTTAATCTGTAGAGAATACTTGTGCCCACATTCATTTTTCCCTGTAATTTCCTTATTCTATCTCCTGTGAGTGTAGTGTTTGCTCTATACTACCTCTATACTGTCTAAAAAAATTATGCCAGACTAACAATGGCTCTCTGAAGCCTGAGTTTCTTGTGCTAGATGTACAAGATGCAGTTTTTACATTGAGAAATTTTCTGCATTTTAATCCTGAAATAAAAATGTATTTTTTCTGTAATCCCACTAGAAACAGACATCCAGTCTACTGTTTCTAATCAAGTGACTCAGAGCATGGAACTTTGATATTCAGCAGGGAAAAAGGTGTGATAGTACTCGGCCCACCCATGGGAATAGACTGGTGAGACTTCAGAGGGATGTCAGCTGCAGAGATGACAGATCACAGACTACAAGACTCCTCCTGTACTCAGGTACCTGAGCACTTAAGAGTGTGCTGTCAGTCTAGGGACTGCTCAGATGTAAAAAGGGATTCACGTACACAGGCCAAGGGTTTCTCACCTGTGAAGGAGAAACTTGTGTTGAATAATGAGGTCAGGTGTTTAAGGGCTGAAAGTTCTGCCATCTGTCTCTGATTCTCTGACTAAATCCATAGTCCTGTAAGGTGACAGAGAAAGAGAATTCAACACAGGTGGAAGGTAAACAACAGTTTTTGAGCTTACACTGTTGGGTTTTGGTTTTCTTCCATCCCACTTTGCATTTGTGCATCCTACCTGAACACAATGTCATCAGTACTAACACTGGGTCAGCCTTAATGTTTCTGTATTAGTGATGACTATTTATATAATCTACCAATGACAAGAGTGGGAAACAGAAGGGAAGGCTGTGGATATTGTAAAGGAACTTACCAAATAGCAAAGTAGGAGGGGGCATCTGGACGGGAGAATCAGCAGTTACAAAAATGGGCTGCTTCCTTAACCAGGATGGAGTAAGATTTGAGTCATTGCTGAACACATTACCACTGCTAACTTTCTGAAGCATAAACTCAGAACAGGAGTTCAAGGAGACAGGTTGGGACATGATAAAAGGAAAAGTTAAATAATTAGAGTAGTGAAATTGGCATGATTTATGGCTTATGATTATTAACTTTTTAAAAAAACCTCTTAAGTAATAATAACTCTTAAGTAATAATAATAAAAATAATATAACTCTTAAGTAATAATTAATTATTTTTAGTAGTAATATTTTAAGTAATAAAATAATAATAATAATTAAAAATAAGTTACAGAACAAGACCTTTAAAAATAAATTCAGCTGAGACAATGGCAAACAAAAAAAATATTTTAGATTACAGTAATTAAAATAGTAATCCCAGATTTAAAAACAAAAACAATCTATTCAAAGGAAATAAAAAAAAAGCATTAACAGAAAATGCAGAATTAGAGTATTAAATGTTCAGTAAGTAATCCAGAAGAGGCCTATGATGTTTTAAGATTATTTTATTCTTTGTAGACTGTATGTCTTATATTGGTTATTGAATGAACTAAGGGAGAATCCAAAAATCAACATGTCAGTAAACATGGAGGTCATGAGCTGAGAAGGATTACTTACTGGTGTAATAATATGTAAAATTAAAGATAAAAATTATGCTTTCAGTTGAAAGTCTTTGAAATCAATCCAGTCAGGGGTACCTCAACAGTAGATATGTTAACTGATGCTTTACTAAACTGAACTGTTCACTAACTTTGAACTGTTTTTAGCTTATGCTATGCTTGGAGGAATTACTGCGTTTTTTTCTTGCATGCTTCTTAAGTATAATTTCCATTTCATAACAAATGAAAAGCAAACCAATTATCTAGCAATTGCAAAACTAAAGATAGACATCTTAACATCTGTGTATCTTAAGCTTTGCAAACTTACAAGACTTGAAATGTAATCCTTTTTGCCATGATGTAAGACCTTCCTTTTTAGTTAAACAGCAAGACTTACCACATATGTAACCCGCATACTGTTCCAGATCAAATACCTTAGCTCCTTCAAAGACCCTACATAAATGTTATTTGGCAGCAGTAGAGATAGGTTTCCCTGAAAAACTACCTGATTGTATACTTAGATAATCACAAACCTGCTTGGACAGTAATGATCCAGTTTGCAGCAGTTGTGAGCAGTACGTGGGTACAAGTCAAGAGTTAACAGACATGCCAGAGCAGCCTCTGTCAGGTATATTACACTTTAAGTTCAATGAATACTAGAAGAACTGAGCAGCTCCTTTTTAAATCCCTAACCAATAAAGGAGATGCTGGGGGAGCAGGAAGCAAATGACACTTTAGCTCCAAGGCCTGTTCTTTGGCCAGTGTTGAAGACCAGACTACTGTGTTAGATTGACCATTCAGTCTGAACACTAAGCACTTGTGTTCTTCATTCCTGCCTGCCAGGAGAAGATAAGAATAAAGCCCTTGGACTACTGCTTTCCTGCATGACAAGAATGGTACCTCTATTGCAGCCATATCCAACCAGTTGAGAAAGTGAATTTAATAAGTCATTACTTACTAAACTTCTACAGGTCTTGGGATTAGTAGGAAACAGATTCAAAAACATTTGTTCAGTTTCAACTTCTATTCCGTGCTCAAAGCTTAGAAGGACTGAACGATACAAACTGCTGAAGAAGTACTAAATTGTCTACTCTTTTTGACTGGTGGAACATTAGAAATTAGAAAGAATTACTTTAATCTTGTCATTAATTCTTCTGCACACAAAACAAGATACAGGCTTATTAACGAAGACGTAATGTACAGAATTTGATAGCACTACAGACAGCATATCTACAAGTCAAGATTTTTCTCAAATATATCCACAGTTTTGCCTAATCTAATTTATTAGTGAAGCAAATCAATTCAGTAAAGACATAGGGCACTACGGACACCTCAGTTTAGTAAAGATGAAAGGTTTTGGAGAAATCATCTTTCTATCCACCTTCTCTGTGATGATTTTAAATACACGAAAGAGTTCATAATGATCACTATCCTTTATCACTTAAAAATCAATCTTTTCAAATGCTCAATACAGGCATGGTTTCGCTCTGTTACCTTATTGCTTAGAAGAACTTTGGAACTCAACTGCAAAAGTACAGGCAATATAAATCAGCATTTAAATTATATATTACATGTTTATTATGGGTGCAAATTTTTGAAATTTACATTTTATGAAAATTCAGATTATTTACAATTTTTGAAAGATAAACTTGTATGCTCTAATTTACAGTCTAGCATAGTAACAATTCATACAAATTCAGATCCTTTAGAGTTGTGTTTACAAATTAATTTTCTTAGGAGGCAGCTACGAGTGATATTGCTGTATACACAAGCAAGAACCAGCTTGCTACATACTTTTTTTATTCAAAATCAGATAACTACATGTACTTATTACATTGTTTTTGAGTTTCTTTACAAAATGTCTATATAAACTTGTATGGCTTCAAAATTGTAACCTGCACCCAATGCAAATGTGTGAAAAACACCTGAATGAAGGCTAGTTTAAAAGTGCTGAAACATTAACTACTTCATTTGACTTAGAAATTAATGTAATACTTGATTAAAAATGGCAATAATAGGTTTGGGTTTCCATTAATAAAATATTGTTGTGTTAATCAGTTTGATTGTAAAGCAGGTTACAATTAAAATTCCAATAAAAAGACTAACATTTTATGAGTTGTAAATTTACCGTCAATAAGATTAGCAAAATATAGGAGCCAAATACACTCTTCCAATCAAATCTACAGTACAATATGTTCTTAGTACTAAAAATGAAAATCTCTCTGGCAAAAGTGTTAAGCGTACATGACGATTTATGCAGCTTCTACAAAGGCATAATTTCATGTAAAGCTTCAGCAGTCCAATTCATTACTGGCTTTGCATGAATTAACTCAAGCATGTTTTTCTGTTTTAATAGAGAATTTGAAATAGATAGATGGTACGCTAAATGTTCACTTGAAATTGCCACATGCAGGTTATTGAACTATTTTGCCCCAATGCTTATGATTTCAACATTACAAAAAAAACCAACTTGGTAATACAAATACATAGAAAATTTTCTAAATTACTGACTTGCTTTAAAAAATTGTTACTGATGTGTCACATCCCTGTGCTTAGGCTGTAGCAAGCAGATTAGATTACAATACAAATATTAAAATCGTAGCTATAAAAAAAATGAACATATGACAGGATTTGTCATCCTGCAGCCATAAAATATCCTTTTAAAATGCCTCCTGAAGTACTATGTGTACATTCACATCACACATCCCCAAAAGCACTCAAAGTCTGAAGACTTATAGCCAAAGCAAACAGTAACACTGTTTACTTTTAGAAGTTTGTTTTTCCTACCTTCACTGATTTTTCAGATTCTCCTCTTTGGTGACATTCAAATTACTTAATAAAAGAGTTTCTGAGTCCTGCAAGATGCAGCTCCCTTTACTAAAGCCACATTTAATTGCAATTATTCCTTGAGGAAGTAATTCAGTGTTTTAAATTTATTTTAATACAAACTACAGTTTTTGCCAACCTGCCTTCTAAATAAATTGCAGTGAAAATAATTTTTATAAACCTGTGTGTGTAATACAAACACCATGCTTTTTTGATCAAGAGCCAAACTTTGAAAAAGGAAGTGAGGCACGTAACAAATTGAATAGGCACAGGCTTTTTTGAAAGGCACGAATGTTATGCAATTAATATAAAAATAAATTAAATCTACTGCATTAACTCAAACAATCACAAGGCCCAAAAAATTTTACTAACTGCAGAAGTAAATTTCTGCTGTGTTTTGCAATTTGTAGCACATTGCACTTAGTGAAAAAAAAAACCCTACATAAAACAACTTACATTTTAATAATATCTGATACATGGACATCAAGTTACTTTTACACATCTCTAACTCAGCTGGTCTTGTGGTATGAATGGAAAGAAGAACTACATGGGACTTAGACTCTGCTATCTTTATGAACTGTCAATTAAAAGCTGTTATTAAAGAATCTGAAAAATGAGTACTATTTATGAAAAGCTCAAATATTTCTTACTAGCTCTCCTACATTTTAGTTTTAATGTTTACAGTACAACATAAAATTTCATACTTCCATTACAACTGTGGATTACTATTTTGACCTCATCTATATAAAGTTATTAAATTTTCAACAAATTTTCCCAAGTATTGCAGTTGATCATTTACAGACAGTGTTGAAGTTAACTTCAGTGCTATTGTAAATTAATAAAAAGTTTTCAAAATGACTCTTAAAAGTGCATTTACTTTCTGTAGTTTAGCCTCAAAGTAGGTCAATATTTTGGAAAAATTAATGCATGTTAAAATAGTGTTTGAAAAGTAGAGCTGGCAGAGTGTGTTTCTTGCACTCCTGATCTGATGATTTTCACAGGTACATCAACAGTCTGCCATATACCGTCCTGAAAAACAAAGGTAAGATTTTTGCAGTTAGTAGATAAACCAGATTTTGTCAATATTTTCCTTGAAGCAGTCTGAATAACTATGGAAAACCAAACTGACTTGCCAGAAGTCTTTCAATAAAGAGTCAACTGTTTATACATCACTCATTTGAACAGTTTCATTTTTTAGAATTTAATACTAATTAATTTGAATATTTAAGCGTGTCAGTGTCTTACCAGTGGCAAATCTCTTCTTAAGAAGGGAAAGCCTATAGCCAGTGCCTACGAGTTCCACATCTGCTCCTGAAAGGGTGCTTCCTTCACTGATGAATTGCACTGCAAGTGTTGCGGGTTTACTGGGTCCTCCTGAAAGCTCAAATTTTGCCCTGAGGGATCCAGAACCTATAAAAACAACAAAACTGAGAAGCTGATTGTTTTGCAAGAACAAAATGATTTCCCCAAATTTTTAGTAGTAAGAAGTGAAACTAATATAGTGACCTTTCAGATCTATTCGCAGTGGCAGTCCTATATACTTTCAAAAGAGGTAAGTGTACAAGTCTGTTTTTTCCAACAGTCTCTTTAAGACAATGACTAATGAATTACTTAAAGAGAAACGGTATAATTCCTGCAAGATTATCCAAAATGTGGGTATCAGCCTGGTAATCACTACTTATCTGATCGGTCCCTATAATCATTTATGCTTACTGGTCCCTACCTATCTTGTGGCAGATGGTATCTGATTGATAGATAGGAGATACTATTTACTTTTCACTAGCAGATTTGAAATCACATCAGAACATTTAAGAGTTGTCACGATCTGTCTGGATGAAAGTACATGAACAAAAACATTGGAAGAAATGCAGTTCTACAGTAATGTACCCAGAGAAAAGAAATTACTATGTTTCTATTAAAGACAAAGTCTGATTAAATACTTCTTACAAATTTCAGTTGATTTTTTCAGACAGTGGTGAAGTGGCATCACTTGGATACTATTATAAAGCAGTAATAGTTCAAAGTTACTTTAAGTACATTTCTGTAGGCAATGAAATGCATTTTCAAAATTCCCACATTGCTACTACTTTCTAGTTTTAAAACAGGTCTTTTCTTGTTCTTGCAAAATGTGCTGGTAAAATGAGATTTAAATTAAAATTAATGGAATAATTTTACTTTAAAACAACTTGCTAATCCTATCAATAAGAGCTGATAAATTACAAGGAAAGGTAGTAACTGAAATGATAATACAGAGGTAAAAGCAGGAACCAAAAGAAATTATTTCACACAGTGGCTTGTTCTTGATAAATTTAGCTTAAGATCAATTTATTTTTTTCAGTAGGTCTGCCTTATTTCTGTAAACTGGAAATTCTTTCTACTCTAGTATGGACACTCATATTCAAGTGCTTTGAAAGTTTGTTCTGTGTTTTATCTCTCTCCAGCTGAGAGATCGCAAAATGTGTTGCACCATAAAAAAAACCCCAAAAATTTTATCATGCTGTCCACCAGGAAAAAAGACTTGAAGACACTTGTCCTGACATTGACAGTGTTTGTGCAACCGCTCCCTTTGCTTTTGTAAGTGCTAGATCAGCACAGTTGCTGATGTAAGTTCCTCCTGAACTGAGAGTACTATGCATGTTTACACGCAAAGAAAAGGGGAGGAAAAGATGGAGGGAAGAGAAGGAATACAGCAGAAGCAGTGGGATATGTGCAAGTCTGCTGCCAACACACAAGATGCAAACTGTATCACTAGCAGCCAGTTCTGTGCTGTTCTGCAGATGTACAGTTCCTCTTCATCTGGCTGCATTTTTGTTTCAGTATGATTTTTCCTTTTAAAAAAAGCCAGAGTTTGAAAAGGGAAAATAAAAAAAAGGAGTTCTAATGCAATGTAGTTGTAGACAAATAGCAAAGAACTGTGAGGTTAGCAAAGGACATTGTACACCAGACTAGAGTAATCACCTGTTTGTTTGAACAATAACCACAACTTTGCAGCCTTTGCAGGAATAGAAGTTGTATTGTCTTTTCATGCTTGTGGTTTCTGTATGAAACCAGTCATATTTACAGGCAAATCTGTGATTTCACAATCCCCTTCACTAAATTCTTAACACGACTAAAGGTCTTTCCTTTACATTTGTAGTTCATTTCTCCACAGAGGCTTTGAGGATGAGATGCTTTTGCTGCGGTACTGCTTCAGAAAAATATTGCACCTGTAGAGACTGCAGGGGTCATGACATCAACTACAGCTCAGAGAAAGGCACTGGGCAGAAGACAACTATTGGTACCTTACACAATATTGTATAAATTACCACTCCGAGTAGATGTGCATAAATTAAATGTTTTCCTGGAGTCATTATGGTCAAAACCAAGACTCAAAATGTTGGTCAAGAATAATATGTCTAAGCTCAGAACTTTTGGATTTTTTTATTTTTTTTTAGACCCCCAGTTCTTCCACTTACCTCCTTCTAATGTATTTAAATTACCTGTGTATGGAAAGACATAGATATTAAACCTATTTTCATTTGAGTAACTTCTCACTTCCAAATAACATGAATGCAGTAATATCCTATCCCATTTAAACTCTATTTTAGAGCAATTAACTGTTTTTAGGGTAATTCATTATTTTCTCTTGTATAGCTAATAATTAAATTTATATTTTGACATTTCAGTCATAATGGAATCTCTCAGGAGGCAATTAATTGAGAAGAAGGTGAACTAGTATACAGGATACAGCATGAGAAATATGTAAAAAGGAATTATAGGGCTTAGAGGCTAAAATGATCACCTCCTTACTGTTAAACATTTTCTGTACAAGAAAGCAAAACAGAGGAGTTCAACTTGCCTCCATTCTCAGACTTCTCTGAAATGTTAGATATTTTCCAACATGCTTTCATCTGGTCTGCATTCCTGTAAGAGAATGGTAGGTTAGTTAAAAGCACTGGTTTTAGAACTTCATTTCTCTTGATTTACACTAGTATATTACAGACATCTCTAAATGGAAGTCTATAAAAATATTTGCACATTTTAAGGTAAGTCTGTGGAAAACTACAGGAGATAAAGAAGAAAAGAGAAGGGTGTGTCTGCATCATTCCAGAGCAGTGATCTCAGAAGAACCCACTCCCTTACACATTTTATGCCATAATTTTTTACACATTTAACACTATCCTGTGCCCCCCACCTATGGCTCCAAAATTCAAACCCCTATGCAGTCTTAAAGGTAAGTTACTCTAGCAGCAGTCTGGAAGCTATGTCTTGATGCTTCGTGAGGATGGTAGAATGGCAAGCAATGTTGATCGTTCTCCCCTAAGTCAGAGTCCTGGGAGCATGAATTTTATTCCATTTCCATTCTAGTAAAACTAATTGGCTCAGTGACACTCTGTTCAAGCTAACTTCAGACACTGTAAAGGGGCATAAGTGGGTACCAAGAGTGTCTAAGCTGACAGGGCATTTTAACTCCTGGAGGACTTTCTAGCAGTTGCATCAAAGGAAAGTCAACAACTTAAAGCTGTGAGCAGCATGAAGTGCTGATAGGTTTGAAATTGCTCTTGGCATTGACAGAGCAGGACTGAAATGCTCACATAAGTAGCACATATAGTAGCATTTACTTACATGAAGTCACATGTAAAGCTCTTTCTTTCCTGAAAAAAGAGCAAAGCCCGACCACCCAATCCACTTGATGGAACAGGTAGTGCATCACAAGTACTACACCTGTCTTGGACATAACTAATTTATTTTTTTTTCCCCTTTGGTCAGCTTGCCAGGCTCAAAATTCTGGGTCTTGGAAGTTGCCTAAGTGAATCCACTAATGCAAATGTCCCTAAGCCTTCCCAGCTAATGCTAAGTATTTTGGGTGGGTGTTCCTACTTTCACTCTGGTTTCATTACAGATGGTTTGTGGAAGAAGCATGGGCAGAGAGAGACTGGCTTCACCACAGTGCAGTTGTGTTGTTCAGACAGGACACTGAACATGTTCAGAATAACCTTAAGATTTGGTTAAAAGTACTGTTTCCTTGAAATACCAAGTCAAGAAGGATTCAGTCCTGTAAGGATTTTTTTTCCACTTGAACTTATATTTTATTACTATGTTGTCCAATAAACACCTGTAATTGTATTGCCTCCAGACACACCAGAATCTACCCAGTAAATGGATCATGTTTCTTTTTCTTTTAAACCCTGCTTTGTAAGGTAAACTGATCTATAAGATACAATGTTAACAAAGCCTACCTTCCTTCAACTAGGTGTTCTTTGCCCTGCTCACATTAAAAGGATAATTTTGGGAATAAATGGTCCAGGATTTATGTTACAGCTTGGCAAGTATGTACATGCTGCACAGGCACAGTGATTGAATTCTGCTCACCTTTTGCTCTGTTACTACTCTGTCTAGTCCCACTGCCCTTTACTTGTTTCCACAAACTTGTAACATAATTTCCTGCTATCTATGTCACACTTTGAAATGCTACTGTAAATACAGGCTCAGAAGGTGGTGGCAGGTAGCTCTTAGTTTAATAACCTGCATGACACTTGAATTGAGAGACAGTGCTACCTGGCTTATGGACACCTCCGTTACTCAGTTATAGAGGTTTGTTTTAAGACTATTTCCATTAGAAGGTAATTTTTAAGTTAGAACAAACAGGAAATAATTTTAAGAACTGCCTGCTACTTTTTCCATATAATCCCATTACAAGAATACATTGTTACACACGCAGAGAAAATATTTTTTAACCATTTCAAATTACTGTATTAAAATTGTCTATTCGTTTGGACAGAAGAACATTGGAAAATTCATAAAAGCTCATATTATTACACAGTTGGGATAGGTACTCATTGACTGTTTCCATTTATGTGAATTGGCTGCACATGATCTATTTTAGACCACAAAATGTCTAGACATCTGATAGTATACATTTTTCTATTTCTTCCTGTGAAAATTTTCAGGCTATGACACTAAAGAATACACTGAAATAAATCTGAAAAAATACTGAAAGTAATTATTATTACCATTTTGCAGGTGGAAGTGACTGCATGTTTATTACTCCTCCATCTACTGGTACCACAACCTGGACATTAGACAGCATACTAGGCACGTTCATAGACTCTGGATTGTATTTATAATCCACTCGCACTTCAGTAGTGCTAGCATCACATTTCCAGTAAGTTGCAAGGTTCAAGGGAGTGGACTGTATGCCATTTGAAGACACCTGTAAAAGAATAAGCCATTGAAAACAACTTAATTAAAATATCCACCTTTTGGGAAGAATTAGGGGATGATGGTAATTAATATAAGTCTCTGTGCTGACAAAATATCAAGAGAAATATTGACCCCTGAGTCCTTAATCGCAGAATTTTGAAGACTACTGCCTAAAGGAATTCCTGTTATTTTAATTTTAAATTAAAATACTTAAAGGAAAAGTTTAAACTCCCTCTGGCCTATGAGGCTCCTTCCTGCTCTTTTATAACTTTTTGTTTGTAAGCTTTGTTTTTGTTGTGTTCTGCCTTATGCAAGACACATGCTTGCAGAAAAATTACTTCATCCTTCGCAGTTGTGTGCTGTGCCAATTCAGCTGCCCAACCAGCCAGCACCAGAGACCACCTGTCATTATGGGACAGGCAGCTGGCAGAATAGCTCTTACCTCTAATGCTAATAAAGCATTATTTTCCGGTTGCAGGAAGGTTGAATGCTGCTTCTGTAGCTGAGCTAATTCTAGTGCGCCGATGCATCTCAACCACCTTCTCAATCTATTTGAGGAACCTCCTGTGTCCTGGTGCACACTCTTGCCTTTTTTTGTCAGTCCAAAACCCTTTTTATCTGGGCTTCCATGTGACAATCCCACATTTTTACAAGAATACACAGTACTCATTTCAGAAAACCAAATATGTTTTTCCTTCCATTTTTCTCAAGAATTCTGTGTTCCTAACATGCTTTTTGCAGGTTCAGTATGCCAGGATTTTAAACCATACTAGGCAGATGTGGAAACTAGAGGTATGTAGCTGCACTGGCAGGTAATTTTCAGGGTTTTTTTGCTGTGCATACAGTTGTCTCAGATGTTCAGACATTTCAAGGCAGGCCTAGAAAGTCCCTGTTCTCTCTTTGAGGTGAGTATGTCTTGAATATTCAAGAAGACTTTTTAACAGCTAGAACATCATCTTGCTGATGCACAGAATGGCTGAAGTTGACAGAGACCTCCTGGAGGCTGTCTGGTCCAACCCTCCAGTTCATGCAGGGCCATCTCTAGAAGGCTGCCTAAGCTCCAGACAACATTTGAACGTTTCCAAGAATGGAGATTCCACTACCTGTCTAGGCAACCTGTGCCCAGTGCTCAGCCACTGTCACAAGAAAAAAAAAGTGGTTCTAGCTGTTCAGAGGGACTCTCCTGTGATTCAGTATGTGTCCATTGCCTCTGATTCTGTCACTTTTCACTTTTTCAAGCAGTGAAAACAGCTTGGCTCTTTCCTCTCTGTGCCCCTCTCAGGTATTTTTACATATTGATGAGATTTCCCTGAACCTTCCCTCTTCCAGGCTTAGAAGTCCCAGCTCTCACAGGCTTCCTTCATGGGAAAGATACTCCAGTCCCATCATCATCTTTGTGGCCCTTTGCTGAACTCTATCCAGTCTCACTTGCAATGAGCAACTCAGAACTGAACACAGCACCTAGATGTGGTGTCACCAGTGTTGAGGGGAAGGATCCCCACCCTTCACTTAGTAGCAATACTTTTGCCTAATGAAGCTCAGGAGACCATCCAGGAGACCATCTATGGCCTTTGCAGCATGAGCAGTGAGTTGTTTGGCTCATGTTCAACATGGTAACCCACAGGACCCTCAAGTCCTTTTCTGCCAGGATAGTGACTCCCCAAGTGCACTTCTAGTTGAACTTCATGAGGTTCCTCTCAGCCCATTTCTGTAGCCTGTTGAGCCCCCTTAGGAGGGCAGAATGACCCTCTGATTTATTCAGAGGGCCTATCCCCATTTGGTATCATCAGCAAACTTCCAAGGGCACAGACTGTCCCATCATTCAGATCATTATTGAAGCTATTAAACTGTAAAATCAGTATGTCCTGTGGGGGTCAGTTCACCTCAGTGTTTGCTCATCCAGCCTGTTCTTCACCAGCTTCTTTATACGGATTCTGTGGCAGATGGTGTTGAAAGGCATGCTCAAGTCTGAGCAGACAATATCTACTGCTCTGCCCTCATCCACAGGGGCAGTCATATCACCATAGAAGTTTGTCAGCTTGGTCAAGCATTACTTATGCTCAGTAAATCCATTCTGACTACTTCTGCTCTATCACATTAGAGAAATCAGAATGTCATACATCTCAGATAGAATCACAGACTGGTTTGGGTTGGGAGAGACCTTAAAAATCAGAGTTCCAACCCAACCTCATCAGGAGCACAGACAACTTTCACTAGACCTGGTTGCTCATAGCCCTACCCAGTGTGGCCTTGAACACTGCCAGGGATACACGGGGCATACACAACTTCTCTGGGCAACTTGTGCCAGTGACTCACCGCCCTCTGAACAAATAATTTTTCTTAATATCTAATTTAAACCTACTCTCAACTGCAAACCAGAACCATGCATTAAAATTCATCAGTGATAGCATCCAAAACTTAGGCAACTGAAAAATCGAAGAGTACAAGTACAAACTACAAGAGGTATTCATCAGATCTTTTAAAGGAGAGTTTGATTTTGCTGACAAATATAAAAAAAAGCAGTGTTTGAAAATTGCTTATGGGATTGGGCTGAAGCATTAGCAAGCTGAAACAAGCCCTGTATCTTAAGGAATGACATGAAGCATAGCAGGAACATGCTAAGCCTGGGCAGAGTCTATGCATTTTAAGTAGAGACATACCCAGAACTGGTCTAGATGAAGGATGAAAGTTCACCTCTATGCTGGCAGACAAAGAATAATTCTTTTAATTTTTGGGTATATATCATATCTGCTGGAATTCCTTAAAAACTACAAAAGGATAAAAGTATTTACCTGATACTTTAAAACATCCACATTGTAATAGGATGCAGATGGATTCTGCTCTGATAATTTCTTGAGGTAGACAGTTATAGCTTGCATGTTCATCCAAAAGTCCTTAGTACTGGAGTCACTTTGTGACTGATCACTACAAAGAAAGATCATTAATTAGGGGTGAAATATTAGACAACTCATTCAAGAATACTAGATATTTTAACTTTTTTTTGCAAAGTACGCTTTTTCAGTATAATTCACTTTGTCAGATACAAACATCTAACATTTCAGTTATAAACTGTCAAATCAAACAGTGATTAAACTTAATTTTGTATGAATTATTTTGAATTTTGTATTAATTACATTAATTATGAACTAAAGAAATTAAATAGAAAATAATACATGCATGTGGTTTATTATTTCAGTAATTAAAAAAATACAGCATTTAAAAACATTTAGCTTAGTGTTCAAATAATTTCTCTAAGAAATGAAACAGAAACTGCTCAGCTGAATGGGATTTCTGCTAAAAAATTCCAGCTTTTCTATTTTTTAAAAAAACAGTATCTCCAAGCACAATTTCAACAATTATCCTACTCAATCAGCAACCTCTTTTTCCTAAATTCTTCCAAGCATGCTGCTACCCATCTGAGAGATAGTTATGTAAAGAGTCTGATTAGTGTAATGATTCATCTTTAAAATACACTAGTACACGGCAAATGAGAATACATGAATCTCCTACTACTTGTTTTCCATTTATGCCTACTGTTTCATCATTTAGTTTTACCATTATTACTACTGTGTAAAGAAATTATTTATGAAATACATATGAAAATAGACACATTTACAAATTGTTTTTTATCATTCCTGTTATACTGAGCACAAGTTCTAAGTCCAGTAATCATTGAGATTTTTAATAGTAGCAGTGGAGAGAACTAAGCTGAACAAAATTAATTCAGAAAATTAATTATATATAATTAAATCAACCAGATTGCAAAGAATTCTGATTTACATACACAACAACCCATACTTTACAAAATTATGTAGCTTACAATTATGTTAAAAAAAAATACAAAACCTGTATACAAGTTGTGCATTTGGAAGAATCTGCTCTAGTTTGCTTGTGTTTTTCACCCTGAAGCAGAGCACAGCAGGAGATGGGTTGCTGGTGAAGACTTTAATAATCCCGCTTGGGAATGATATTGTCATATCACCAGTAATCTTCACAATACATCTAGAAGAAAATTAAGAAATCAGCTTCATTGCAATTCATTAACTGCCTAGTTCTAATACTACTTTTAAAGCAACCACTGTAATTTCACAATCTTATTAACTGAATTAAAAATAGAAAAATCAATCTCAAATGATGGTAATGTGACTATGTACTGTCACTTTCAGTTTGGAAGTAAGATGAAATAAGAAAAAAAACTTTAACTGCTTAAGCATACAGTAGTCTTGGATATTTTTCAAGCTTTGAAAATATGGCATGGCTCTGTCTAGGCAAGGCCTAAATAGAACAGCAATGGATGTGAGAGGGAATTAAGTGCTTTCAGCTGGACAAAACTACATGTAACACCTTCCTGACAATGATAAAAATCCTTGTCATTCTTAGTGCTCTCACTGAACACATTTTTGTAAAGCAGGTATATATGAACTCCTGGCATTACAGAGCAACAAGCCACATTTATACCCGGGGAAAAAAACCCCTTTGAATTCCCCTTCCAATGCATACTCATTCCCCTCCCCCAGTATGAAAAGCAGACCCAGTGTCTTTTCTTACTGTAACTCAATACATTCAATACAATTCACTATTTAACTAACTTTGTGGGATCTGCTCCTTTAAAGTAGGCGTTAACAGATTCAGTAAGAGCTACTGCAACAGGCAAGGTGTCCTGGTTTCCAAGGCTGACAGGGCTGGGACCACGTGAAACACCTAGAATACATACAGTGTATAGATTTAATTTTCAAAAAGCTTAGTAGATTTCAGAATGATTGACTACATCTGTAATTTTCACAAGAGTTTACACCAACATCACAGTTCATCTGAAGTATTACCTGTGTGTAGAAATACATAAACATAGTACAGTACAATCATACCACCAAAATGCTGTTGAGCAGCCTAAGAGCACAGGTATGACTATTGGCATGACCTTATGTAAACAGACACAAGGAAATACATGAGACAGAGGAAAACTGCATCAAAATGGCTACTGGTAGGGGTGAAGTCAACAGACCCAAAGCAAATTGACTAGAATGCTTTAAAAATAAATCCCTACTGTATGCTTTTGTATGGAAAAATGCATGATAAAATGGTCACAGAAATATATAGAATTCACTTACAGTAAAAATTAATTTAAACACAAATTCATCAATACTACCCCACATAAGTGAACTGTTGAACATTTTTTTAACTTTTACAGCCAAGAAACATTGCAATTCCCAAGCACAAATTCTTGGAGAAGTCTTCACTCTTGTGCCATCACAACACAATTCCAATATAGAGCTATAAAAATCAATGAAGCCCTCCCTCATGCTAAGGCTTTTTGAGATGTGCAAATACAATTGATGAAACAGGTTGTCATGAGATTTCATTTTTCACAAATTTTCTACATATGTATGGAATACAAAAGACAATATTGGAAGTTTCTTCTTTTTTTCTTAGTGCAGCAGTGTAGTAGATAGCATCTTATTATGTTTTTTGTACCATGAAGAAATGGTTTGTATCACATAGTATTACTTATCACAAAGGAGGTACAGTCTTTATCTTTTCATGAGCAAATTGAAAAATTTCTCTTTCATACCATAAAACAGAGATCAAATGCTTCTGTATAATATTGCCCATGGCAAATTAAACCTACTTACTCTAAGTGTCTGTTCTTTCTGAGCTCTTTCAGAATTAAAAAGGAAGCTGGGGCCTTGCTCTTCACAGAGCACCTAATATATCATTTTAGACCTTAAATTAAGAAGTAAGTAAACAAAGTAGTGACAGAAAGATAGCAAATACAGGAGTTGGTCTAATTCCCCTACCTTGTACCTCTCTCTCCATTGCAGTTTCTCATACAAGGTAGGAAAATGTTCAGAATGCTTCTCAATACCATGAAAACATTTGTGCAACACTTAGGCCTCCTTAGAGCCAAAAGATCTAGTCAAAAGTGTTGAAAACCAAAAATTCTTAAATGAACTAATTATTATGACTCTGGCTAAAAACAACTGATTTATTAAATTTTTTCAGTATGAACAGCAGGTTGTTTTTCTTTATTCTTTCAGACAATACATGGATCATGATTCCAAAGTTTTCTCTCTCCCTGAAAACTACCAACAAAAGCTGTGATTCTCAATAGTGTCAGGAATCCAGAAATCACTTTTCAAGAGGCAAATGTGCAATAAAATAATGAGTTATAAATTACTAGAAATTCTATTTGGTGAAATACTGAACTCTAGAATTATTCTTCACTAAGGACAAAGTGTACACTCAATTAATGTGGCACTACAGTTGCTGAGCTGATTTAATTTCTTTTTCTGCCAAATTACTAAGGAACAACAAACAACTGTAGAGCAGACACGATTGCCTTGTTTAGAGGTGTATCAATTATTTTGAAATCTTTTACTTAATGGATTTATGTACATTTTAATAGCAATATTTCAAAAATTATTCAGAGTAATGCAAACATATTTATTACAGTCCTATTGGTAAAAGACAAATACCGTTTGCTTGACTGAAAAGTGAAATTTATTAGAAATAATAACACTATTTACTTTTTTTTAGGGAACACAAATACATATGTATATATATTTCTCTGAGACCTATTTGGGGAACTACAAATGAGATCACTTCTCTCTTCTTTACTCTGCTCCCATGTGCTTTGAGTACAATACTTGGTGGTGTCTCATAAAGAGAGAGACTCTTCAATTCACTTTTCAATTGTAGGAAGGTTTTGAATTGAAAGATCATTGTCTATTGCATTTAAATGAAACAAAACATTGCAAGAAAACAAAATATTTCAAGCAAAAATATATGTTAAAAATTAATATTGAAAAAATACTTTGCAAACTAAATTAAGGCTAAAGCATAAAAAAGCACTCAATTAAGCATGCCTTGAAGTTCACTTGGAAAAAGAATCAGAGTCAATTCTCCATTAATCAGAACAAATGGGTTAAAGGGAACACTGGATTATGCAAAAGGCAAAAGATACAGAATGTATTGCAAAGTATATCCTCATACCCCAAAGTATTTCAGCTTTTTGAACTGCCCTTCCTATTTTCCCAGGACTATTATTCATACAGTCAATGCAGATGGAACTGGACTTACTTATTTTTCCTAGGCCAGAATAATCACCATGTGAAATCTCTGTATCGGCACACACCTCGTTACCTCCTGCCTCATCTCATTACTTCATTCTGCCACCATTTCCAACAACACACATACACCTATCTCCCCAGAGCTAAGGATATTAGTGCTCTTGACCCCAATTTTTGGCTCCTTGACAACAGAGCTGACATCTGAGGATATGAGCCTGGATAGACTCTGGCAACCAAAATACCGTGTTTCTGTGATGCTTCTCAGCATTTGTGAAAGTGGTAGACACCGAACTGTAAGAGCTAAGGCTGGGTAGAACTTAGTAGCTTTGCTTCTGCACAGGGTGGAAGCAACTCCACTGCAGAACTCCCACTAGGTGTTGCACAGATGCTCTTCTGAGCTGATGAGCCTGACTGAGGAATCTTTGGCATCAATAACATTAGAAGATAATTGAATGGTAATTCAATAAATTGATTTAATTTGTGACTAAAGATGCAATGGTGCTCAGGAATGAAACAGTTCAATACTGCTAAATAAACAAGTTTAAATGTCTTAAGCCCTGCCCTTCCCAAACTAAGAAAAAATCCCAACTAACTAAAAGAACCCCAATGTCTCCTTTTAACTTATGATAATCAAATATCAAAACTGAAGTGCCTTCCTTTAAAAAACAAGAGGAAACCTTCTGAGATTAGTGGCAACACATGAAGACTAATTTCCTTTTAATCTTAATCTTTCTTATTTAATTGTTTTGCTTTTACTGCTTAGCTTATATTCTTAACTAACTTGAAGAAAAAGATGCATTAGATTTATTTTTTGGAAACTGAAATTTTGGAACAACAAACAAAATTAAAAGAACATAAAAGAACTCAATTTTGTGAACATTTGTATTCATTCAAATTTTTCAGTATCCCTAAGTATTTCTGCATCTCTGCAATAACATCCTCTGAATAAATATATGATAACATGTTGTACTTGATGGATATACAAGCATACTATTCATGGAATGTTAACTCTGAATAATATTTCCCTAAAGAAAATTATTGTTATGCCAAGTGATGCAATAACTGAATTTATTTTCTATCTAATTTAATCTACTTTCCTGTGTCTCAGTGTCATTTAGAAGCAGACATTGCAAAGGATGCTTGAAGTACCTAGACTTGCATATGAAACAACTAACTCCAACAAATGGTTCTTGCAACAGGTGCAACCTACTGGCTGAGTTGTCCTGTTTCTCAAGTAAGAAAATGGTTAATTAAACTTACCAACTGTAGGTGTGTTTGCTGCACTGAGGGAAGCAGAAGAGGATATAGAAGAAATGCTCTCTGCACGTGCTAAAGGAGCTGCTGGAGGTGGACTTGAGTTAGAGGTCAATGGAGGGCTGAATGGCCTAGGCTGAATAAAAGACATCACAAGAATATAATATAAAGTCGTTTTAAAGATGAAAAAATACAATGTAAATAGAAAAGTTCTTATTTCATGCCTCAATGAATTTCATAATATTTCTCCTAGTTTTTAATGTAAAACAGAGAACCTGCATTTTCCATTGGAGTAAATTCCATTATTTCATAGATTATAGTTTTTTTTGACAGAGTAGTCAAGTCTAATGTATTTGATTATGCAACAGCCTGTCAATAATAATAATAGAACACAGTATCAGAAATTAAGACTACAGCCCTGTGTATGTGTATGCAAACATAGATTTAGAGAGCTAAAGCAGAGCAACTAATGAATTAGGAAGTGAGAGCAGCAGAGGGCAACTAAAATACTTGTGACTGGAGTACATGAGCAAGACAGGAACAGGCTGTAGGACCAGGGAAAGCCCAGAGAAAAGAAGCCTAAGAAGGGATTTATTAGCAGTCTCCTAGGTAAAAAGGGGCACGCAAACAAGTAGTCAGGCTCTTCTAAGAACTACAAGAACTACAGTGAAGAAATGCCAGCTGGACTTTGGGAAAAAATCCTTCTTGCAACCTTGTAGTAAAATCCTGAGACAGGCTGCCAGATTGGCAGACTGTAAAGTCTCCCACACTGGAGATTTTCAAAACTCAGCACATGTCTGAGCAACCTAATACAATTTTGAAGTCAGTCCTTTTTTCACCAGGTTGGCCTAGAGAACTTAAAAATCTCTTTCACTCTTATCCATCTCTGGATGGTTTTAGGATAAACTTAACCGTTAAGGTAATTAACTAATGATCATGCTGGGATTAACCTATCTGAAAGGTACTGAAACCCCCAAAGCATCATTTTGGCAGGATAACTGTGAGATCCCACAAAATAAGGGGCTAATGTTTATGTTTTAAACACTGATAGCTGCATGGCAGCCAAGGATTGATGGTAATAACAGACAAAGACTGTTGATAATGATCAAGGACTGTTGATAATAACCAAGGATTGTTGGTACTAATAGACAAGGCCTGCTGGTAATAACCAAGATCGTTGTTAATAACCAAGGACTGTTGGTACTAACAGACAAGGTCTGCTGATAATAATCAAGGATTGTTGGTAATAACAAACTGCAAAAGAACAAGATTTAGCTGGAGAAGGTGCTATGCAGTGGTAGGCAGCATTTTTCCATGACAAACATCCTGTTCTGACTCCTGCAGATAAGCACAAGTACAGGTACAGCTCAAGTGCAGGAATGAAGCAGAGAAGTGAGCATCAACTATAGGGGAGGATCAAGGCCACTCAGGACTCCCAGAGCCCTCTGAGTGAATTCCAGAAAGGTCTGAAAGAACGAACTGTGCATGATAACTAATTTGCATAGAAAACAGGAAACTAAGCTCCAGGGTGGGGAAAACCTGTGCATAAGAAGGTACTCCTAATAAGCCTAGGTGACACCTCCAGGACACTCCATCAGCTGAATTGACACTGGAACCAGGATTGGTGATCTTTTTCTTTCTCTTCCTGTTTATTTCATATATTCCTTTGTCTCTTTCTTTTGTATTCTACCTCTTTATCTATAACCCACTGTCATATGCAAACATAGTAGGTCAGGGACATACCAATTTCCATGCCAAATGCATAATTTAATAGTAACACTTTGTAAGTTTTGTGGACTCTCTGACTTTAGTCATTCCATTCAACCACTAGCATTTGTGAATCTTGGGTGTTTCTTCCTCCCTAGGTATGGGATGTCTAACTTCTTTTGCCCCCATTCTATTGCACTTGCTGGCTTTGATAGAGACTATGAGAACTGTAAAAAGAGTAAACATATAACAAAGACAACTGACAGCCTTCTGACAGATAATAGTAAGTTTCAAAAGCAACAGTATAAAATGAATGTAGCTTTGTTCAGGATCATACTTTATAGCAGAACAGTACCAGATAAATTGTTCCATTTAATTATGATGACATGAAGAACAGATTCCTTGGGCTAAGAGCAATTTCTACAATGCTGTATTTGAAAGAGAAAATAATTTCAGAATGAACTCAGCTCTGATCCTACAGAAAAGCAAAGGAGTTTGAAAATATTTTGTCAGTTTTGTCAAAGCAAAAGATGAGAATTTTGTTTGTACCAAGAATATGGTAAAAGTATCTTGTTACTTTGAAAGACAATACAAGGATTTTACCACAGGAACATTTTTTCCAAGTCAGGAAGTCAAATGAAACCTGCAGAATACTAATGTTTACAGAGGAAATTAGGCATGGCCTAGTCTGATAGGCTGTTGGTTATTTGCATTCTTTACCACATTCCTTATCAGCAGGTGAACCTGCACTGCAGGCACATGCAGACAAGTGTGCACCCTCTCACTATCTTTACAGGCAACTGCTGTGGTCTACCACCTCCCTTCTCCACAAACCAGCACCAAGTGCAGGGAGAAGTCACAACAGGGCTATTTCTTTCAAGATTCAACTGAAAAAAACCCCAATTCATTTCCCAAAGCTTTGGTGATATCCCTAAATCAAGGGAGGTTTGTTAATAACTTCACTAGTATTTTGCATTTTGAAAACTTTGATCTTATGCATGCACCACCTTTCATTGTCAAATTACTGTTTTGCTCAATTAAGAACACTCAGCTGATGCAAAAATTATGGTTGTACATTTGTACTTGTGCTAATAATTATTTGTTGTAATAAGATAGTTATCATAAACTATTAGCATACCTGCTTATGTGATTACTTGACCATTGGCTAGAAAGTAACTCCGCTGTAACAGTGTAAATGAATGGCGTGTCTGAAATCAAGTCAAAAAAATAAGAAAAATCAATACGTACTATTTCATTAATCCCACTAAGTTTCCCAGTAGGCAGCTTTGGTCTTGAAGCAGGCCTTGGAGGGGGTACTATGGTGCCCACAGAAAGAGGAGTGGTGGGCCTTGCTGAAAGAAAGCAAAGTAAAGAAAATATTAGAAAGATCATACTGAATACAAATAATTATTTACTTGAGTAGGCTACCTGGAAGTGATGTTTCTACTTGAGGTTCCTACTGTACAAGTGCCATGTCTTAAGAGTTACCATAAATCATAAGTGCTTTTAAAATATGCCATGTTTTTAATATATGCCATGTGATACCCTGAAAAGTGCATCTAAAAATATAATCATGGGCTTTCCATTGCTCTCAAGTGATTTCATAGCAACCACTCTTGGAAGCTTGTATGTAGAAAGAATTGGTTTTGCAAATGCAATTACTTAATCTCTGAGATCTCAATGCTGTCTGACATCTCACAAAAATACATTCCCATTTCTAGAAAAGCATAGTTAAGAGAAAGCAATGTCTTTTAAATTAATAATTTGAATTTTCTTCTTATTTCAAGCTGAATATTTACTTCACTGTCCCAACTGGTATTAACAAGCAGTTTAGTACATTCTAAATAAGAAGGTTAATTAATTTTAACATCAGTTGAGCAACAATAACAACAAAAAGAAAAATGAATCCAAAGCTTGCTTTTTGAAGTCAGTTATTAGCAAAGAGCAGTACAGAATGCATGCTTGGCATACCCTTATTTGTATGAGCATAAGAAGACACTAAACTATAGTCCAGTAGTGCTGAAGATGATGCAGAAGATATTTCAGCAGCAGTGCCAGTTTCTTCAATGAATAATTGTTCATGGCATATAGAGTTATTGAAAAGGTCACTTTGATCCTCAGAAGCACAGCTGTTGATAGAATTCCCAAGCAAAGCAGGAGAGGCAAGGCAGGCATTTTCAGTTTTAAAATGCAATCTTTGGGGCTCCTTCTTGTCTGTGCTTGTGTGTCTAATTGTAAGAAGTTCATCAGCAAAGGAAATCCACTGACTCTGAGACCACGAAAAACTGGATAAAGTACTGGTAATCCCTGATGGCGCTGCTGTAACACCATATTTGCACAAAGTGCTAATGGTAAAGCCTGGTGAGGATGGGCTTATAGACCCAGAATTTGTCTGGTGTCCAAGCAAAGAGTGAGATATTCTACACCCAGGCAAATCAGTGGTAGATGAGGAGGAGCTCCTATTGTGCTCTGTTAGGGTAGCTGAAGGAAAAGGGAAGAATTGAAAGTAGGACCAACAATGAAAAGATAAAAATTTCAATATTCAAAAAAAGTATTCAATATCCACTGCACAAGGATTACTAGTCAGCATGAAAATAACGGCTCTACTAAGGTAACCTCCCCAACTCACAAAGAGAAGAAAGGAAAAAATCCAGTCACACTTCATATGTACTTCATTCATACTGCAAACCATGTCACTTTCCATTGTTTAATATGTAATAAAAAAATGATTATGTATCTCTCCACTTAAGGCTACATTTCTCAAAACTTTCCTTACTCCTCTGACTTCCTACCTCTTGTGATTTAATTTTTTCTCATCTTTGTCTTTTCCTTCTTGCATCCTACTCCATTTTTGGTTCCTCTCTCCAGCTTTTTGCTTTTAATTTCCTTCAAAGTTATTTAATCAAACCTATCATGTTCCCTCCAAATACTTCGATCCTCTTAGTCCTAACATTTGTAATAGGAAGATTCAACAGCTTTGGCTTTCAGGTGAATGAATGAAGACAATGGAGTCACAAGATCCGGTCTGATAGTTATTTTGTCTGTGTCAATCTGTGTCTAGTGAGTAACAATATGGATGAGGCATCATGCACCTCAGGTTTTTTTTCCTCTCTCATCCTATAGTATTCTGACTGCTGAAAAAAGGAGTTTTCCACAACTATTCCCTGCACTTGCTGTTGCCTGTTGTCTAGATGACAATAGAAGCAGAAAATACAAGGTTAGTCAACTCTCAACATCTTGCAGACTGGCAGAGCTAGAAGCAACAACAGTGACAACCAAAATAAAAAAAAAGACAGAAACACATTTAAAAGTTCAGTTCAAAAGTACAGTTTTCCTCTCCACAGTGGTCCTTTTGCCATAAACAAATACATTCTCTAAGTCCAGCTAAACACTAAGAATTTTAACACAGCTTTCTCTTTCTAGCAGATATTTTAACTATAATTCAAAGACTTTAAAATACTATTATAAATCCTATTTTAAAACAATGTGGAGATGTTAAGAACTATTTTAAAAATACACATGGATGAAAATAAGGAAGATAACTAATAGAAGCATTTTTAAAATATCAAGAGCTTGCTAAAAAATGTCTGTTGTTTGTTCAAGATAACAAAGTTAGCTTAAACTTCTAATAAAGTGGGATTATTCATGGATGACTGACATGATTACTTCCGTGCTGCATAAACCACTTTCTGCTCAGATACCAAGGTAGTTTAAGTGTTCAATGATTAACACAGTTATAAAACCATAGTTAAACAATAGTTAAACAAATGTTTAAACTGTAAGGGACATATACTGTATTCCACAGAAATAATGTATGTAATTTAAATTTTGGATTGAGATTTTCAAGATCTTTAAGCACCAGCTTACTACTAACCTTCAAGCTGAAGATAAAACATTGCATTCAAGGAAAATACAATCAGATAAATTAAGTATTTTTAAAAAACTTTGAGCACTACCTTGCAAGTTAGCAAGCATTAGAACTCAATTTAAACAACATGACCTACATTGATCCAATTTTTTTTTTCCCCAAATGTATTAGAAATTTGTTATACTTTGGAACACTTACTTTCTATTTAATTTTACAGATTATTTCACAAATGTAAATATTTTAGTTAACTCCTAGAAAAACAATCCTTGAAATGATTATTTATTGGATAAAGTTTGCCAAGGCACAGAGGTATCTAAACTTAATTTATGCCCACAAGACCCTCTATTGCACCAATTTCAATGAAATGCAGGGCTCTGTGTACAATCCTGATGGGTATGAGGACTGGGGTAGATGACGCCCTCCCAGATACAGCTACAGAGAATATTATGGATCTCTGTCATTTTTCATCAGCCAGAGACTACTTTCTCCACAGTTCTGCTGCCATGAGGAGCTGTATCATGATTTCCTAACCTGCTATCACCTCCCATCCAGGCACAGCAATAAACACCCTATAAAATAAAATAAAATACAGCTACAACCACCAGCACAACAAGTTAAGTATCCTCTGCCTTTCTCTGCAGACTCCTACACAAGACCAAAGCTCACAGTTTCTTTTCAGAATATCCCTGTAATCTCTCTAGAATATATTCTTAAACGTGCTACCACACACATGGTGGATTCACTTGCCAATACTACCGGCTGACTATGCAAGCCAGGATAAGAAAATGGTGATGAATTCTGTAAGCCAGATTTGTTAAAACTGTGACCTTTAAAGAACACAAATTTGTAGTGAAAGACAAAATTCTATTTAAAATATGAAGTGTTATAAAGCAATGTTATTGATGCTAAAAGAACATTACTTAAGCCAAGAAATAACACCAGTTTTTCAGAATTCTCCTATGTAATCTTCCTTATTGCTCTTCAATCTGCATGATCAAGTACAGAAGAAAACTGCTAGAAAGCCAAAATCATTAACAAAGAAGTGAGGATTATTTTTGGAATACAAATATATCCGTGAACACGCTTCCTTTCTAAGGTTTGTGGGAGGAGAAAAGTGTCTATGTTAAGAGAAAATTAAAATGTTGGAGTAAAGACACAAAGTAGGTAGACTGAAAAGAACTATGGAATTATTTTTCGCAAAGACTGGATTTCAGGAAAGCCTGCCAATGTCCTACCAACACTGACATCCTACAACCCAAAATTCCCATGCAACATGTACTGTCTCCCTCTACCTCCCATATGCCACACCATCCTTTTCCTTGCAATATCCCTGATTTCAGGATCTCAGCTTAATTCGTGTCTCAGTCCTGTCATTTTTATCCACCTGCCCTTGGATTATGCCTTCATATCTCCTAACAGAATCATGCCTAACAGAATCATGCCTTCCTACAGGAAACAAGTTCCTCACAGTGAAGTTCTGCAATGCCTTTGTACTACATAGCCCAACTGACTTTCCTAGAAAGAAGAAATCCATCCCTATTCATTGTGCAAGCTCAGCTTGTCTCACTGTTGCTGCAACAACCTCCGTTTAATCTCCCAGACTTACCAGCTGAATAAAAAGGATTACATTCTAGATGGTGAGCAATTCCTCAGTAAGTATGAGAAGGCAATAAAAAAGGCAGGAGCAAGTGGGAATTTTCCTAAAGTGTCTAGCACTCCCTCTTCCTCTCTAGCTTGAAAGCCTTATATACTTATATACTATCTCAGTTCTGTAATACTTCAAAGACGGTACACTGTTTTATAAAATTCTATCATTTATGCATCAAAGCATGTCTCCTTGCAACAACTGAAAAAAAGGTGAACACTACCATCAAATATTTTACCATAAGAAAATATTTGACTACCATCAAATATTTTACCTGAGGAGGATGAGGATGCCAAAGAAGCTGAAGAGGAAGATTCAAGAGAAGTGCTGAAGAGTGGATCCCATGCCAGGAAGTCATTGTTCCCCTTTCTATATTAAGAGTTAAAATTGGAATAGAAATGAAAGATTTATGCATTCAAAAATAGTAGTTTGATAATGTATAATTATAATAATCACAGAATAGTTTGGCTTTGAAAGAATCTTTAAAAATTCTGTTCCAGCCACACTGACATCCACTAGACCAGCTTGTTTAAAGCCCCTTCCAGACTTGCCTTGAACACTTCCAGAGACAGGCCATCCAGAACTTCTTTGGGTAGCCAGTTTCCACCTCTCACCAGAACTCACAAAATAAAGAATTTCTCCCATATATTTAATCTAAAACTACTCTCAGTTTAAAGCCATTCCTCCTAGTCCAATCACTACATAAACCTTGTAAAAAGTCCCTCAATAATTTAATAATACCATTTGACAAATTAGTCTATATTAGTCTTTGCATCTAAAAAGAAAAGAATTAGTCAAAAGTTGCAGGTCAAAGAACTGATTTACACATGAGGAGATTGTCTTAGCAAACACCTTGGTGAAAGTTTGTGTGTGAACATACTCAATAATGTCAGCTGAATAACTGTAGTTTTTGAGACCCACATCTTCATATTCATTTATTTCAGGGTATATGCACATAAGCAATGTATGCAGCTCAGTATAAATTTGGGGCCTTCTTAAACACTTTGTCATGGACAACTCTTGGATAGAAACCAAATCTGTCCTTATCAAAAACATTGTGTAACCATGTAATTGTAAACATTAACTGAGACTGATGACAATAAATCAGATGTATTAGAAGGGGTAAGCAAATGGAAATATCCATTGATACACTTAGTCTTATAATGCAATAGAGGTACAACTTAAAATAGGACTCAGCTGTCATTTCCAATGAATTCATGAGTATTACAAAAATAAGAAAAAAATTCCTGCAAAACAGCATTTGATAGAATTTTGAATTTGAACTTACTCAGTAGTTGGAGCAGGAAGTTTTGGTTTTGTTAACTCTTCGCCTAAGAAAAAGATACAGTAATATCACTAAAAGTGTGAAATATAATATGAAAATTTCATTTTCATTATAAAAAGAGTTAATATTAATGCTGGCAATTCAAAGCAAATTACTATTAAAATGGAAAAAAAAGAAAACATATTATTTCAAATGACTTAGGTTTAGATATTCCTGAAATCTGAGAAGACTACATATAGACCAATGCACTTCATAAGGAAGTGTTGTTTACTTGAAACATCCTCCTCGACTTATACATTTTGCATCAATACTGTTCTTCAGCAAATCTGGCCTGGTTTCCCACTGGCAAAAAAAAAAACCAAACCAAACCCTGAATAATAGAAGCTCATGCTCTATCCTCTTTGTCAGTATTTTACATCATACACTTGGTGTGCTTTGCTGGTTCATGGATCATACTAAACTTGAGCAGTGAAAGGGTTTCAGGAATTTGCACAGGAGATTTTTCCATGGGGTAACCCCTTTGGCATCTGGATGTGTTCATCATTACTGTCAGATACAGGTTCATCTGGTCCCCAGAACAGGGAACAGCCAAATACATAGATAAGGAAGAGTTATATAAAACTAATAAGAGAAACATTTTGTTCCATTTAAAATACATATATTTAAGAACTTAATGTCTCCACCAATCAAAAAAAGATATTTGTTTTCATTCTATGTTAAAAAACTAACAGGGTAAAAGATTCACACTTACTTGATGAATTTTGATTCATTTGTGCCTGAAACAGGAAAAAAAAAATTACGATTAGGTTCTTCTACTGTGAAATAAACCACTTAATAGTTAAGAGTTCTTATTTCCACTCAACTCCCTCTGAGATATTTTTTTTTCAATGACAGGCAAAAACATCATGAGCTTTTGGAAGACCATGGAACATGAGCCCAGACAGAGCAATCAGCACCTCTGCCATACCAGTATGAAAATGCAGGAATAAATACTATGGAGCTGACAAAAGGAGCAGCATTTTTTATTCTCTTTACTGTCTGGGACAGAAAATTAAACAGTCTATATCTAGCACACAGTATAGATGAAACAAAACATTCCTCCTGCTTTTTCCAACATGTCCCCTCACATACTACACTTACTTAATTTTAACTACAAATACAAATAAAAAGCCATTCTCTACTTACAGGACTGTGCCTCTGCTTTCAAAATGTGGTGAGGGGAAAAAGAGAAAAAATATTATTTTAGTATGTTATGTGCAGTATTTTCTTTAAAGTCTGAATACTGTACTAGCATACCCTAATATTAATTATCATCTGGTGGTATAAAGGATTATACCATGAATTGGCAGGATACATGTAACATTTACAGTGCAGCTTTATTGATGCACCCTCATTATATGATTTGTTTTAAAAGACTTGTATGTTATTGAAAACTAATTAGCAAATTATGTTAAAAGCCATGCTTGGCTAACTCAGATGTAATTGAATGTCTTGTGGTGGCCAAGACCACAAATACAAGAGCTGAGCACTCCAAAGACTCATAAGAAAGTTTAATTATGAGAAAAGTACTTAATGTTATACTGCAACAGAAAAGTGCAATCTAAACCTATTAGAACAGAAAGTGTACCAAAAATGACCTAGTGCACAAGAAATAAGTTATTGAACCTAGAATAAATTCTGAACACTAAAATGTATGCTTACAGTACAGTTTCTTTACCACTTTTCTACACATTAAAAATACAAGGAAAAAAAAAATTACAGATATTGCTGGAGAAAGAGTGATGTTTCCTATGGATACTTTTAATTCATCCAAAGTAGGCATAGTGTATTGAGAGGTGTTATTTGGCTGGACAGGTTTTATTTCCACATGGAACCTCCTGGGTTCATCATCTTCAGAGTCAGAATCACTGGATGAATAGAAATGGTTCTCTTTGGTATGTTTTTGTCAGTTAAGGTGGAAATACCTCAAAGTCATCTGCTTAATCTACTTCATAATTTTGGTCCACAAAATGCTCATATTAAGTGAACTCTTTGTGCACTTACATACATCCACAGTCCAAAATTCACAATTCAGAGTTAAAATTTATGGGTTTATTCCATTTATCTTCAGAATGATGATTCTGTTTGGAATCTAAGAAAAGCTCTGAAAGGCCCAAGCTAAATCTTAAAAACAGTATTTGTTTTGGCATGAAAAATTTGAAAATTTCCCTCTACAGAAAACAAAATTTTCTACCACCTGGAAGAAGTGTACATTTTCTCTATGCCACCTCTGTTATTTTCACCTGAAAATATGACAGACATTTGCATTAAATTCCTTCAGACTATATCCAACAAAGTTTTAAACCTGAACCCTAAAGACATTCCAATTCCCTTTCAGCTGAAAGGATCTGAAAGTTGTGGTGAGGAAAAAGCCAAATATCTTAATCTTATGCCTATCTCTTCCTTCAAAATAAAGCACTTATAATAAAGGTTTCAAAGACAAGTAATTCTAATTTCATCAAGAGATTTCTTGTCTTGAAAGTTATCACTGACCTTCAAGATTCATTTCCTACAAATGAGACAGTTATTGTGTTTTGCCAATACAGAATTAAGTCAGACTTATTAAGATTGACTGTCATTATAATAAAACAATGATATAATTGTTTTATACATATATAATATTAAATAGTTGTTTATAAGGTTATTTAATTATAATAAAACATCCTCCAACAAATTATCTCATGACTTCCCATCAACAGAATAAATTTCTAAAGGCTAAGGGAGCAAAAGAGAAAGGGAGCTGATAAGTTCCTGAAGCCGCTCAAGATTTTCAGAAGCTGAAGTACTATCTAATGACAGATGGCAAATCATGGATATTTTTCATTGAATGTGTGCCTCTTCTATTGCTTCACAACAAAAAAGAGATAATTTAAAAAAAGGATGTTCAGATGAATCATTCATCATAAGCACAAATGTTGCTCACTTCTCTCTCACTTTCAGAAATACATGCAAAGCATGAAATAATACTCCTCTTAGAACTGGATAAAAGTCTGTCATTTTATAGAAATTTTGTAAACAGGAGATAACACCAACTGCTTTTATTGTTACAGAACTTTTCCATGTGGGCATTAGAGATATATTCTGCAAAGCTGATGATTACAAAGAAGTTATGATGATGAACTGGCCACTGTAATGAGCTGTTAGCTGCTTTAAGGTTTTTGTAATTTAAGGTAATGATATAGTCTAAATTCACCTTTTATCTGCAGTACCCAGAAAATTCAGTGAATACATTTTCAAAAATTACCTACCTTGCTAGCATACTAGGCTTACTTAGATCTATGGTGACTATTCCCAGCTCTTAAGTAGATTTTTCCTCTGTGGTGGTTAGGAAAAAAGTGGACAAGAATTTTCCTCCACACCAACAGGGGAATGGCAGAGAAAAATCTTGAGTCTCCATAAAAATGACTCAGAGCAAAATCTATTCTGTATATGAAAGCTATTATTAAAAAGACAATAAAAGCTAAAAGCACCAATTGGATACAGCACGTGATATAATGACTTCATTAAGTAACAGAAATTCTATTTCTACACTGCTCTAATGCTACCAAAAAAATGGGAGGGTGCAGGTATAGAACAGATAACCATTCAATATGCTTTAAAAAGTTTGCAAACTTTATTTTAGAAACATTCTGAGAGCTTTTCAAGAAGAGAAATCTGCATTGGATCTGGCTATTTTTTTGCTTTTTATTTTTACTGTCCTTTTAAAGTTCCCAAGAGATCTGATTTAATCTAATCTTTAACATTTACACAAACACATCCAAGAAAAAGTTTGGTTCATTTTACAAAAGTTATTAATGCAAGAATACAAGATTGCAACATAGGCATTAACTCTTCAGTCAGTACTTCTCTCCAAAGAATTGTAGTAACATCAAATAACATGGCACAACAATAGTAAAAAGGATATCCTGTGTTGCTTCTGGTTTAATGCTGTATCCTTCATCATCTACATCAGGAAAGTTCTAAAAACAACAAAAAAATCATGCTATTATTAAATAACTAAAAAATTATGTCATTCTTGCATCAGATCATTGACAAATTAAAATTACAACAAGTCATGAAAGTTATTTTTATTCAACATTATTACAGTTATCTGAAGATATAATCTGTCATTCAGAAGTTGTGTGGCAAGATACCTCAGCACAAAATGTAAAAAAGAAGCTCTAAATTTCCTGTGGAAACTGACAAGTTTGAAATGCATCTTCTTTTACTGATCAATCACTAAATAACTACTAATTGATTAATTACTAGTCAATTACTCTATCAAAAAATATTGACAGAACATTATCAACATTATTGTAGCTTCAGTACTGAGTTAAATTAGGCTACAATTCTCTTGGCCCCAGAAAAATTTTCTAATTTTTACTACTCTCAACTAAGTCACAAGATCTTCTGATGGTGCAGAGACAAAACTTTCCTAAGCACTGGTCGATATTCAAGTATGTAAGCCAAAGCACAGCTTGCAAATTCCACTCCCCCTAGAACAGGCAGCATGCTTGCACTGCTTCTTCAGAAAAGAATATCCACATCACAGGTGCTCAAAGTTTTATTCCCAAGTTTTCCTTCACACATCTCCATTATATGCTATCCTGAATTTCAAAGCCAATAAGCATCTGAGAACTTAAGACAAGTTTTGTTTTTCTGTCCTTGCAGGCAATTTAACAGAAATAGAAAAGAATTATGTTAAAATAACTTAGACAACTCAGCTAAGTATGTAGTTTTATTAAAAAAACCTGTGGGGCAGAGAGAGACAAGTCTCCAAGATAATCTAAATTTTAAAAATGTACAAAACCCCCACATCACACATGTTACATATACAGGATAAACATGGACTCATAGATACTTTCCCCACTCAGAACCAAAAAAAATTCACTAACAACTTCGTATGCATAGGCAGTGTATGTGAACTGCTTAATGTCTCAGTAAGTTTATCACAAAAACCCACACAGACATCTTCAAAATGCAGTGATTTCAACAATATATAATAAAAATTATAACATGTATATATATAAAAATTATTTTTTTCTAGTGTAGCAACAGTTTATTCTATCAGAAAGTAGGTACTGGGAACCAATTTGACCAACAGATATGTATACACAGTATGGCCAAAATTTGCTAGAAGTCAAGAGTTAGAACAAAATTACTTATGCTGATGATTTCAAGTGGATAAGAAAGGAACCTCATGACTTCAGATAAAATTTGAAGCCAAGTTTAAAGTTTGTATCTCTGAATAGCTTTTGAAATACAGAATACAAACATTAAAATTATTAAAATGTACTTATCCTTCTGTATCTTTTACAGATCTCACAAATGGGATGTCTGATAATTCACTAAGAAAAAAGTCTCCTCTGTACAGCTCCCTAAATTTAACACTTCTGAAATAAATGGAATTTACACACAGCTCAAACTTTCTGCTAAGAAAAGTGTAAGAAATACAGTCCTGTACAGATGTAAGACTATACCAAATTAAATACCGCATCAAACTAAGGGCAAAAAACAATATTTAAACTCTCTAACCTTAAAATATAGACATATAAATGCAATTTCTTGAAACACTTGCAAGATCTAGACTTCACTGCTATTTGATTAATAAATAAATAATTACAACAACAAAAAAGTAATAAGAGTACAATCATACAGTACAATACTTTAGCTCTACTCACTCAAATCAGGATTCTTAGCTATGCTTGACCTTAAGATGGCCTTGTTTTTATACCAAAAACCACTAACGAAACTTGACATCAAAGTAAACACAACAAAAATATATAGCAACAGGGTAAGTATACTTCTGTGTAATACTACAAATTCTGAATTCTGAAATTAATTTAGTTTTCACACCAGGTAATTTTCCATAGATCAGGATTATTCATGGTTAATATGAATTGAAAATCAATAAAAAAATCTTTAAATATACAACATTTACTTTTTCTTACAACTGGGCCATATATGTAAAGGATACTATTACTATTACTGGGTTGACACAGCATGCACAACATAGCTAGCAAAACTGACTATTTTGATATAAAATTATAAGAGAACTTAGTTTGTAGAAGTTATTTTCATTGTATTATTTTTAGTTTACTGAAGAGTAAACTCTAGGATTAAGAAAGCACCAAAATTGTAAAGTATTTAACGTTCTTTCTTAATACTTTCATTATACTTATTTCTGATACTGATAATATACTTGAATCACCTTTCCCTCAGAAACAGCCCTTTAGCATGCAGTCTGTTTTCACAACTTCATGTACGTAACAGAGATGGATATTTTACACTTAAGTTTTGAGCCCAGGAGAAGAAAATTTCTTCCTTCTCTTTCAGCTAGTCTATGTTACCACTTCTTTTCAAACCCTGTATAGAAAACCTTATTTATATTTTTTCCTGTATGTAAAATTTAAACACATGTAATTTCAAACATTCTGACTCTAAATACTATATATACACATAAATAATTTGCTTTGTATTTCCAGCCAATTTATGATCATTGTTAACACGTACTTTAATTAACTAGATACTGAATTTATATTTTTGTGTAAACCAACATAAAAAATGGGTAGAAGAGATACCTGATATACCTTTGCATAGTCAAAGGCAAATGGTGTCACACAGAAGCAAAATGGCACCTCACAATCTTACAAGTTAAGTAGTAATTTCAAAACACTGTTCTCAATATGTTCTCAAATGGTTGAACTGGTCACTGTTCTGCTTTCTGAAATATCAACATTTCATTTGCAAATCTACATGTAATAACAGTGGTAGATAACACAGCAACCTGAGAGACACATACTCATTAATCTGATGTTAATGAAGGCATTTACATCTATTTGATTAAATTTTACTCCCTTTTCCACACTCATACAATTACAGAACAATATATTATGTCATGGATAACAGTGTCTCTTAAGCATCAGGCACATAACATAGATAAGACCTGATTTGCCTACCATGCTGATCAGAGGTTAAGTTCATTACCTACATGTCAACATGTATAATTTTCGAACTTCAACACACAAGATGATGATCTTTGCAAACTTTGGCCTTTGGGAAAAGTTATTATAAATACGTTGGGGACAGAGGTCTGCTTTAGTCCCCTACACAAACATGTGGTCTTTGCAGTCAAAAAACTCCCAACAACATCATTATGCATGTGAATTGAACTCTACAGAAGCAACTTGAAAGGTGGACTTCCAGGAAGCCCTTCTGAGGTTCTGTTAAGCAAGTAAACATGTAGCTATAAAAGCCACAGTTTTCACTGTGTTTTCTGATGCAATGCATTAATTGATATCTTATATAGCTTTAAACATAAACTGCCAGAAACTTGCCGTATACTTTTGCCTTTGCCTTGGCATATTCTACAAGCTTTCTGGGGCTAATAATTTTTCGAAGAATTAAACATAAAGCCTTGATAAATAAAGCAATATTTCCTGTGTATGAAGCTTGAGGACCAAGCATTCTATTGACAAAACACATTTTTTTAGTTTTGGTGAAAACTGATTTTAGTTTCCTTGCACTGTCCCATCTGACATCCAAAGGTGATTGAAGAAGTCACACCATTACCATTTCATTAGTGTCTCTGGGCTACTTAAAAAGCACAAGGGAGGAATGCATGGAACACTGCAGCCTAACTACTTCATTTGGCCCTTCCTCTGAAACATTAATGCTACTGACAGGCTGGTCATCAGTCAAGAAGCAAAGAACCTTCACTATGCTCCAGTTTGATTTCTTTATATTTTCTCTTCTCCTGAGATAACTACAGTGGTTATGAAAGCTCTTTATCAAGTTTTCCTGAGGGTATGCTTCAAGATGCAGTGCAGCTGAACAGTTCACTATTTTCTTCTGCTGGAACTCAACTCGCATCCCATAATCCGGATGAGGACTCTAAGTAAGCAGCTGAAGCTCATAGGCTGGAACAAGAGAACAAAAAGCCTCTCCACTTTTGAGATATTTGAGATGTAAATTTGACTCTGGCATATCCTTAGGTTAAGACTGAGGCATAATATTGGCCTCCTCTACTTAGGGTGCCTATTAACCCAAGAGACACAGAAGAAGAGAGTAGACAGTCAGTTTTTCCTATTGTTAGAAATGCAGAAAGAAAAAAAAAATGGGTATTCAAAGTACTCCTGTGTTGTGCTGATAGAAAGCCTTGTCCTCGACATCAGCTATTTGAAATATCCCAGAATAAAATGCTGTAAAATGCAAATATGGAAAAATACTTGAATTTCACTAAATACTAGGTTATACTTGTGCTCCACTTCTCAGAATTTGATGGTTCCAAGTTCAACCAGTCCCCAACAATAAAAGTAGTCTGTAATTCTATATAACTGTAATTATGCTACAGTCACATGTGAAGAGGTTAATGAAAAGTTTTGGATGCCTTGATATGTGTTTGCATTTCAGTTTCCCATGAAAAAAAAAAAACTTTCACCGTTACATTCTGTACATCTATGATTCCCTTCTTAATTACTTTTCAACTTACTGGAGAATTTCAAATGGATTTGACAGAGAGAATAGAGAACTCAGAGATAATTACATTACTACAGTCTTCATGAAAACAGGCAGTGAAGTAGAAGAAGCATCCCATCCAAGGGAAGGGTTGCAATCCCAATTCAGACCTTACTGGACACAAGTGGAACCTTGTAAATGTTTCCCAGGAATAAAAGTTTCTTTTAGATCTCCTATCTTCCTAGAGAGCATCTCTAGAGATGCAGACTCATGGGAAACAAGACATTTCAGCCTTTAGAAAAACATTCTAAGGCAAAACCCCCATACAGAGTCAGTCTTCAGCTGCTATCTCTTTCCAGTGCATGCATTTTCTACTACAAACTTTCCACTTTTCTCAATTATCAAGGTCTACCTCAATGGAAGTTACACCATAGATGGACATATAAAAAAACTCAGGAATTTTAAATTCTTTAGATACTGGCACCTATATTTAAACTGAGACTGGTTATTGAAGTGGTCAACCTTATTAACAAATACCGTATCTCAGTCCATAGCTGTCTACTAATGAGCATGTGAAAACCTTTTACAGCAGTTACAAAAAATACTTACAGGAATTAACATTCTATTAATTTATTTTCCAGTATATATAATCTGGCAGCTACAAAAAGGATGAGCATAAGCAAATCTGTCTTACCATGGATAAATTTGAGAGCATCTGTTTTGGGACAAAACACATTTTTGACCCATCTCACCATTTGTTTTGGGAAACAGAGAATACAAATTTGATAGACTGCATCACACATTTTGCACTAGTGAGAAGGCACTCATGGTATTGACTACATAGTATGTTCAAAGATCCACAGCAGCATACAGAATTGGTAGATATGTATATAAATCAGTTCTTACTACATCCTTAACTTGAAAATTTGCAGGGTTTTTTACCTTGGTGCCTATATTTATATACAATTGAAGAGTGGTTATCTTTTACCTTCCTTTCACAAAATTAAAACTCTTGAAAAATAAACATAAGCCAATTTTCAAAAAATGATCACATAATCATGTATATACCACACAGGTTTTCTGTGAGTGACCAAAACTGACAAAACAATAACTGGGACATGTTAAGTTGAATTTTCTGAGGTCTGTTCCTCAGTATTTCCTAGCAAATAAAAAACTAATTATAATTGCCTTAATTTATTTTATTTAATAATAGTTTTCCACATTCAATTTCTTGAAATGCATAATTTATTGCAAATATCCATACAAAATAGATCCTCCTAGAGTTAATAGAGACTGTTTAAAGTATTTAGATCAGGTTTGATAAGTTAAACAGACAGGAAATACAGAAGTAAAAGCCAAGAAAAATTAAAAACATTTGAAATGAGACCTTTCAGAAGAGGACTCCAACCTTACAACATAAAAGCACTTTGGATTGCTTGTTTGTAAGGGGTGAAATGAATCTCATATAATTTTTTCACTAGAATTAGAGTTATGGCTTCTACTTTTACAGCATTCTATCACTAGATAGAATACTACTGTTGCTTGAAACAAGCAAGCAGAAATCATAGACCAAATTTTAAATTCCAAATGCAGTCATAAAATGCTGAGCAGGCAAAAAAACCCCAAAACAACAGTATTAACAATTAACCTAGATGATCACGTGGTGTGCCTCATGTAGCCAGAAGGAATTCCAAACCAGTTTATAGTAGAATTTTTTAACTAATTGCTTTCAAAAAACATGGAGACCAAAATAAGCAAAGAAAATAAACATTGAAAGTCAAATCCAGTTGGGGTTCACTCCAATGACTCAACCTGAATGGTCAAATGATTTTACTTCCATGAGAAGACTGATAATTATAAGGATACTTCTATAGTTACTTCCTTTAAAAAATACCAAAAGAAAGAAATTAGCTGTAAGTCATGATGACTGCACAATATAAAAGAAATGACTTGGCAAGAATTACACACCTGTTCTTACACATATAGTTCTGTTATTTGGCAAAACTTACTTTTCCACATTTAGAAGGATAGTTCTATTAGATGTTTCAATTAAGTTTCTCAAAACAAGTTTTAATATTAGATGCTAAAACCTCCTAGATATCAAATAAAAATAAGAAAATCCACAAAATAAATGAACTTGAAATCTTAAATTGTGTAATGTAATTGGCACCTAAATGAATGAACTAAAACCAAATCACTTAGATTACACTGTAATTTTTTCCCAAATAGAGCTATAGGGAGTTAAATCTTTGTTATATATTAATTCAAGAGAACATATATGTTTGCATAAGAAGAAAAGACTAAATTAAGGCAATAAAAAATCATTAACATATTCAATTTAATTTGAAGTGGTCATTTACCATTGAATTGACTAAAAAAAATTATAAGACATTTCACAGATCTAACTAACAGTAATGAAAATTAAACCATTAGTAAAGTGCATCTAGAAATGCTGCATTTAAAGCTATATTTTAAACAGTATATTCCTACACTCTATTGCCAGCGCTAAAGGAGAACCCAATCAATATTGGAGGATAGATATAGAAGGATTTCTCAAAAGAAACAGTAATAAGCAGAGGAATATGATGATGCAAAGTTGAGTCCACAATACACGAAATATTTTTCTTTCTTAGAACCTATTAGCCAAGAAATTCAAACTGTTAGCTGAAAAATAAAGTAACATATATTTGCGGTAAAAACACCTTGCTTAAAATCTAAAATTGTTAAGAAACAAAAATGTATTATTGACACTTTTTTGTACATATTGCTGAAAACCATATATTGCACAAAATTAATACTTCAAGTATGCTATGAAAATACTAAATTGTCTATCAGATAAATTATGTATTGAAGAGACAGTATGAAACTTAAGTTCCATCATATTGTAGGGCTTTATAGTATTAGCATATGGATTTATTTTGGAAATGTCTACTTACAACTGAGTCTGCATCTGGACACTCCCTATTAAAAAAAAAAGTAAAGAAAATTTACAATTATAAAATGCACAACTTATTTTATTCACAAAATTTTTCCTTCAATATTTTCTATAAATTTAAAACAGTGCATTTGACCCTTTTGTCTCTCAGATTCTTGAAATTTTTACTTTAAATAATCCACATTCAACTGAATGAGATTTAAATAACAGCTGACAGTTTATGCTCAAAACACTGCAGAAGAAAATCTTAAAAGAAATCATGAAAAATCAAACTCACATGTTAGTGAAAAGAATTAAAAATAATAACAAAAAAAATCAAGGAAAGTGAGGACTACCACACTGTGTCCTGGGTGAATATACTTTAAGTTTCAGGTCTTCATGGTTGGTGTGCAATAAGTAGAAGTCATCAATCCTAATGAAATAGTCAACCTGCAAGTGAAAAATGTTTTGGACAAAAACCAGTTCACAAAGAAATTAAGATTTTCTTCAGAGGAATTCAGAGCTTCCTCTTTTAGAGTTTCATTCTGAGTTCATGTTTGTCACATGCAGTTGCAGTCAAGTACTAGAAAATGGTGAACAAAATACCCTCCTAAAAAAGTATTTAAAAAAAACCAAAAGCTATCTATAGAAGGGCAGTGGTTGCAAGCACATTATTCACAAGTGTTAAAATTCTCCACTGCAACTTCAATTTGAGCAGTAACACTTAAAATTAGGAATGACACTGATTCTCTCTGAAGTCTTCAAAAAGCAGAAGCAATTACATTTACAGAATGTGGGAATATATGAGTAGCATACAAGTCCTTTCTAATTCGTACCTTGACAAATGGTGAAGCTGTAACTGAACAAGAGCGTTTTTGTATCAGTAATCTGAACATCCTAAAATGCATGTATTAAAAAAAGAACATGGATAAAGAAAAATAAAATCTGAAAAGATTAAAAAGAAAGATTATAAAGAAAAATTGCAATCTGAAACATCTTCTGTGAAAAAACAAATGGGTAAAAGGCAAAAAACTTAAGTTTTTTACTACAGTGCATTAAAAACAGTTGCAAAAAACTTGCTTACATGGAAGCATTAATACAAAATTCAGTACAGTACGTTAAGGATACGACACTGAGATTAAGGATTCCATCTTCTCTGAAAGGTCTCACACAAAAGAGGATATATATGACCAAATTTCTACTTGTTTTACATCTTTCATAGCAATAGAGCTGTTCTGAAAGATATTTTACTGCTTGAAAAGACAAAGTATATTCTTCCTTTGAGAGATGTGGTTTCAAAAAGTGTCCGTAGGCACACAAGACAGCCTGAGGTACATAAAAGTTGAGAAATGTGAAATATGAGGCAAATAAAAGAATAAAATTCAGCCCACAATGAAGGTTTCCAATATTTATGAGCTAGAAGATCTCAAACAGAAATGGCAGATCTAGTATCATTCAGAGGAGTACTAAAGGCATCTCTCAGGATCTGTTCTATAGACGCAATGAAAACACAGCAGTTTACAAATGTTGGTGAGGTGGAAAATGAGGACATCAGGCTACAGACAAAAGTACTTTTAAATCACTAGATTTATGATCACTCTTTTAAAATTAAAGAACTGGCTCATGCTTCTGCTGTAAGGGAATATTTCAGAAAATTGAGATTTTATAAGGGATTTTAAGGATTGTAGACATAAACTAGACAAAAACATGCAAAGCAATGATTAGAAGTGAAATCCTTGGGTAAACTATAGCAATATGTAACAGAATGCACCCTGTATGGTATTTCCCTGAATTAAAACAATTACTAGACACACCACGGGTTCAGGCATCAACAGTTTAAAGACTGTCTTGACAAACTGAAAAGCCTACTATCTACGAGAGTTTTTCTAGATGTGGAAAGCCTGCCCTACATAAGCTAAACAAGCTTACAGATTAATAAAACACAAGACCAAGGGAGGACTTGACTTCTTTGTGCATAGAAGTTTCGGTTTTATTATTTTAAGACAGTTTTATCATTTCCAAGTCCATAACAGAGTCATCAGATGAAGATTAGATCAGACAAAATACAGACTAGCAATCTTTATGTATAGAGATCATAAAAGAAGTATTAAAATATATTATGTAACACATAATGAATCCTGTTATTTATTTGTGATGTTCTAGTTCATTTAGTAGTTATAGTTTAATGGAAGAATTTCTATAAAAGCCTATGGCACATATTACATAGGAGATGGATATCATACCATTATACATGTTTCTTTCTGATCTCAGAATCTAGTCTCTTGTAGAGTGTGTGAATATAGAAACAAAATACTATTAGTACCTGCTGTTCTTAAGTCATGAATTTTTCATCAATACTTTTTAAAAAAGATACCAGTAAAATACTTTTAAAAGTAATTTTTAAAAGTATTTATGCAGATGTTGCCTCTGGGAATATTTCTGTATTGTCAAGTTTGTCAAATTGTAAGCTATCTTCTTGAGAAAATACATGTGGAGATTATGAAAAAAATACAGTGACCATAAAGACTAATATAGATACTGTGACCAATTCACCTTAGAACTGTTATTCAAAATCACTTTTTGCAGAGATTTAACTCCTGGGAGACTGAGCACACGCAAAGATTAGAGCAAAGGGTATATTTGAGACAACAGCCCTGAGCTAGAATGACCTTGTTTGAGAACGGAGTGTGCTCATGATATACTGCACTTTTCTGTCCTTCGACAGTATATGCAGAAGTTCTTTTAACAGAAGAATAACAGAAGTGTCAATTCTTCAAATACAGCCATCTGGTATTTTTACCACATACAGACATACTTTTTAGGATTAATGTGAGTTACATTATTTACAATGCTAAAATGTAGAAGAATGGAAAACATCTATTCACAGGAAAGAAGGAAACATTATTGACTACTATGAATACATTTACATTATTTTTTGTTATTTATCTTAAAATCCTTGGTCACAAAAATTGTAAATAACTGTGATGTTTTTGTATTCATTGTGTTCCTTTAAACAGCTGCTATAAACCCTTTTTTTTTTTATTTAAATATTGGCTAATTTTTATCCCCATTACTAGTTTTCATTAAAGACAAGGCTTCAGGGTGGAAATATACTTACACAGATTCAGTATCTTTTTCTTTTTTCATTATTCCTGATAAACCAAAAGGCTTCCTTTTCCGTGGTTTTATTCCTATGAAACAAACACTTTTCATTTATAGCTCCAAGAGATAAATGAATATTTAGCAATGTCAAACACAGATGCATATGAATGACAATGTTTTAAATGCTGCCACAGGTATGCAGTGGAGATGGGTATGGAGCCAAACTAAGGGAACATTATTCCAATTTGCTTTAAGTAAAATACCAATTAAAAAAAAGAAATCAAAATAGGGTTCAACTCATTAGTAATAAAATCCTTAAAAAACTGATTTGGATCTCCAAGTTGGGTATACAGACTGTGTTTGTTTAATAGACAGTTTTGAGGAAGAGGGCTCTGCTCACAAAAACTTAACAGAAGCTGTTGCTCCAGGTCATCCTGAATAGCCATGAGTGAGAAACTGAACATTGCCTTTCCCAGCCACTGCACTTCAATACCCTGTTGTTATTTCCCTGTGTGTTCCCAGGAGCTGCAAGCTCCTCTTTCCTCAAAAGTAGGACCTTGGTTCTGTGAAAAACAAGATTGATTCTTGGCTTTCCAGCTGAGGTGAGTTCATGATTTCCCAGTGTTGTATCCACCTCCAAGAGTGGTTCTCACTGAGTTTGGAATTACATTTCTCCCCTTTTGTTTCTTCCCTGCTTTTAGCACTGGATACATATAGCTACAGTACTGAAAAAAGTTTGCTTTCATTCCCATTTAATGTACTAAAACTAAAATACACTTATATATTCCCTCAGACTTATTGCCACATCTGCTTCTTCACAATGTTTTCTGAGGCAAAGCAGGCTGCCAATCTAAGTGCAAGCATCTGATTCAACTAGTCTACAATTTGGTTTTAATGCATGATAGTACTGACAGCATGCTTTTGAGCATAGCAGTAGAAATAATTTGGTTTCCAAAATTAAACCTCTGTCAGTTCAAGCACTTTATTATATTTACCTTTACAAAAATACATTACACAGTGAATAAGAAAACTCTCCACTCCTAGAAATTGTCAGTAACTCCAAAATTCTCAAATCAGATAGCTGTAGAGTCAGTAATATATACTGAGGCACATAAATTGCTCCAAGATTATTTTTAAATGTCTTTTTTTTTCCTAAATGGCCTTTCTTTTTTTTCCTGTGCATATTTTTTTTCTCTTGCTGCACCAAAACAATGGCAAATGGAGTATGAAAATAATTTCTGAACATGGATCTTATCTGCTTCAGTCAGAAAAGGTTTTAAGTCTCAGCTGAAGTCTTGGCAACTTAAAAGTTTTTGGGTGATATACTGTTGACTCCTCTGTCCCACAAGTAAAGATGTATCTTATGGAGAGAAAGAAGTCCTTAACCACTTAAAACAACCCCCTAAGCAAAATAAGCTGCACCAACAAAGACAGATTTTGCAACCACAACACAATATTAGGCTTAGTTTAACTGACACAATAACAATGGGAAGAGCCCAGGCCATGTTTTGACACTTGTAAATTAAGCTACAACACATTCATAAGTGAATCAAATCCAAACTTTTGCAAAGACAAAGCCTTAGCCAAAGTATACTTACAAGAAACATGCAAATTATCTGACCTTTATGCATTAGTCTTATAAAAGATTTATACTTACTGTCACTGAAGTTTGTTTCTCAAAAGGAAAGCTGCATTTTAGTCTACTGGAGCACTTTAAAGTTACATAGATTCACACACTGAGTACCCTTTGCTTCACAGTTCAGGTCCTTATTCACAGCATTCCTGTGTAAATAACTAAGCTATGGCAACTTACCTTCAGCTACACTGGATGTGTTACATTCTTCAAACTCAATAGGGCCTTAAAGAAATGACAATGAAGACAAACATCAGGTCAAATTTAATCTATTTTAATATGAGACATTATTTAATTACTGAAAATAAGAGATAATTTAATTTTTAATTACAAATGTTGGTAGCAACTGAAAGGCATCATTACTCTGCCAGTGGCCACAGATACTGCAAAATCATATGTAAAGCAGTGTTTTTCTATTTCACAGTGAAAAATTAAAATACTAGACATCATCTAACTACATTTGCCTATATCTATTTTGTGTCCTCATTCAAAATTGCATCCATATTATAGCATCAGTGTAAGGTTTCCAGTTTATCCTCTTTTAATGAACAGGAGTTGTATAAGTAAAAATTTAAAAGGAGAAGCTATAGCCCTAATTTTGAAAGTCACACTTTTGCTAATTCTGCATTACTAGTTCTAGTGTTTCCTCTCCATAGCCAATTGCTTACACAGTTAGAAGTGGCACTTAAAACCTTAAACACAGCAATAAAGAAGATAATTTTTTCAAAGAAGTCATTAGGACCAACAGGACAAAAAACAAAACAACAAAAAAAGCAACAACAACAAAAAAGAAAACAAAACAAAACCAACAAGAAGCAGAGAATTACTGGTTAGGTTCTGGAACTAAAGAAATTCCTCATATTCCGTTATTACATTTGCCACAAATTAAGAGTCAGTTCCCATTGCAAATTTATGTCCTAAGCTTCATTTATTCAGTTTGGTCAGGTCTAGAATTTAATCCCACTATGAGACATTTTAAGGAGCAAGCATACAGAAAACAGGGTGAGCTTCTGTAGGATCTTGTTCAGGGAATGATAATCATACCAGCACTTGGGAAAGTGCTATGCAAACTGAGAGCACATGCAGGCAAGCACTCTTTTTTCCAGCCCATGTTGGATTATCTTATATATCTTATATAATTATCTTATATATATATATTATCTTATATATCTGTAGCTGTATCTACAGAAGAAAAAGTTTAGCATGCTATCACTGTGCCATAGGGGTTATTACTTACCTTTCTGCAAACATTTTGATAGCATGCACACAATTTTATATACAGATATATTACAGTTAAGACAGGGGGGAAAAATACTTCTAATGACTTCTTTTTTTTTAATTATAATATGCTCAATGTACTGATTTATATTTACTGTAATTAAGGCTGAGTTTGCAAATTTTTCCCAATCAGTAAAAATAAATCGAAGGGTTTGTAAAACAGCAGGATCCAAATTTTGGACTAAAATCCATCAATATTTCACTTATCATAACGTAATTATTTGGCCTCCAAATGATGCTCTTGAAAGCAGAATATTAAAAGACAAATCTCTAGTGGCAGCCTTAGCAGCTGTTTAAATTTCAATTAGGAAATTACTTCAAATGCAAGTCTAATTTTTCAATATAGCAAGACAAGATGCAAATTCCTAATTGTTATCTTAATCTGTTACATGTCATAAATACATGTGCATTTTAAGATGGTCTTCCAATCCTTTCTCTTTTCTCACTAAAATTTCACTTCCTTTCTTCTCTCACTAAATCAACAGTAAAACAAAGTCAGCATGTTCCAAAAAGAAGCAAACCTGGACGTCTTGCAAAACAAAAGAACAGGAAAACAAAAATCCAGGAAAACTGATTTTTAGAACCGTACATGTCTACATCTCTATGCTGATTAATCAACATTTTATTTTACAAAATTAAACTCTATTATTCAAAGGCTATTAAGGAAGACATTAATAAAAATACCACAAAATGTAGAAGCTGAAAAACACAACAGTTAGTTTTTCAGAACTACACTTCAGACCATATGTTTTGCATCACTTGCTAATGATTCAACTACTTCTATTTCTTGCTTCTATACATATTCTCATTTCCCTAGGAAAAATTTTTACAAAGACAAAACAATGAGAAACACTCATCTGCAAAACAAAAGAAAACTGTAAACACTAAGACTTAAATATATTTTCAGAGGAATAAAATAGGCTTTGTCAGAATTCCACCCCTTTCCAGCTACTAAGAGTGATCCCTGAATTTTGAGACTTTTACACTAATGATTAAAAGAAATAAAGAAGGCTCAAGTATAGTTCTTCCATATTTCAGATCAGTATCTTAACTTCCACTTCTAAAATAAGCAGAAAGGAAAGCTTTTTTTTAACAAGACATCCAAGTACCTCTATTTTTTTCCATTATGCTTGCCTAAAACACTTGCCTTTAAAGGTGAATTTTTTACACCTTGTAAGAATTCTTATTTAAAAATACATTCTTCCTTACTACAGAAACACACAGATATTGTGTGAACCAGTTACAATTCACAAACCTATTTTGGTCAAAGCTTACCTTTCCTACTTAAATTTGTATAGGGTCCTTCTTCCTTTGTAATTTCAGAAATCCATGTCTGTGGCTGTCTCTAATTAACTCAGCTGGTTAGGGCATGGTGCTAGTAACACCGAGGTTGTAGGTTCAGTCCTTATACAGGCTATTCACTTAGGAGTTGGACTTGATGATCCTTGTGGGTGCCATCCAACCAAGAATATTTTGTGCAAAAGTTTGCCCTTTTGAATGGAGCAGAGTGAAATTTGTAACAGTTTTAAATTTTCTGAAAAGTTTTGTCCTGTTACTTCAGACCTCCCAAGAGTTCTGCTTCCTATATGTTTGCCATAAAGAGTACCATATTTTGCCTTGGGGAAAGTACTTTTAAATCAAAGTAACATTTCAGAAATAGACATTTCCTGTGGCACTCTAATTTAGAAAACAGGATAGCTGTGAGAAGCTTTCAACAGCCTGCATAACAGCTGGAATCTCCTCTGGACAGATGTCTTTGAGTCCAAAGAGGTGATAATACTGTTGTCCAGCCAGAACTGTGTGTTTTCACCACACTGTTCTCTGCTAGAACCAGCTGCAGTCTCCTAGTCAGCCAGAAGACCTTAGGCACACATACTGTTATGGGAGCATAGCATCAGTAAGGAATTCATACAGTTCCTTAAGAAGATTTCCAGCATTGCCCAGTGTCCTGTTCCATTTGCTCCACAGAAACAAAAGCAGCTGCACTAGCACTGCAAAAAATTCCCCAAATCTCTAAAAAAATCCCAACTCAGAAAGCTTTCTCCTCTGCAACACCATAATGTCTATCTGATTCCTTAATCAGAAGTCAAGAAGAAGCCAGAAGTTGCTATTATCAAGAACTACCAGTGGATTGGCATTAATGGAGATTGCCAGAGAGATGTAATACACAAATGGAAGTCAAAGCATGCAAACCTATGTCCCTGTCCCAGTATCTCAATAACATTTGTAACAACTGAACTAAAGGTGGATGCATTTCCTCTATGAGGCAAAAAGTTTTTTGAACAGACTCATGCCCAATGATTGTAGTGTAGACAAAGGCTCAACACCAACAAAGGACTTCAGCTCAAAATCTGGATGATTACAATGGGTAAAATTTTTGATGTAAGTAAACACATTCACTGCCCATTGCAACATTCAAAGAAAGAAAAGCAGATGCTTCACATTGAAGAAGTAGTCTTGATGTTTGGGATAGAAGTAATTCCCTGAAGCAGTCTCTAGAGTCCATGCCATGTGGTAGTCTAAAGGCACTGAAAGAACACTCTAAGTGCTGCCATACTGCAGTACAGGTGATAATGGTGTTAACACTGCTATTTGGCAGTACTGCTATAAAAGCATTGAAATTTCCTTTGCTCTTTTTCTCTTAACAAGACAATAATGTAAATTGAGACAGAAACCTATTCTCAAGCATTCATATGAACACAAAAACAAATTCTAAAACTACAGCATTACTGTAAAAATCAAAAAGACATTTCAAGACATTTTTCAGAAAGAAGTTATACTGAGATCTAGTCCAATATTTGCAAAGGTCTCTGATTTAGTGTTCTGTTGCAAGGAGAGCACAACTTTCAAAAGTCTACTCTGCCTGCTTAGAAGTATTATTAAATTAATCCCTATACTGGTAATGTTTGCTTTAACACCTCAAATACCTCTACATAGATTTGCACATATTTTCTACTGTAGACACACAAAATAGAAAAAAAATAAATAAATACAGTGTATAAATGAAGGTTAGTTAGCCTTTGTAACAGGAAGAGATATGATATTTAGTGGGATTTCAGTCACTTAAGAATATATACCTAGCTATGTGGATGCTAATGAGAAATGTAGTATTCTACAAAGCAGGCATCAAAAATCAGTAAGCTCCTCTAAGAGTACATAAAAATTCCCAGCAAGCATCACTGCAAGCTGCCCTGAGTTTTTAAATGCTCACAGTAATCTATCAGCTGGGACAGATAAAGACAAGAAGAGAAAGCAAATGGAGTATAGCTTCACAAACACATGGAGACAGACAGCTTCTCATTGAGAAAAAACTAAAGCAAATACACCAGGATCAGGTCAGTTCTTAGGCTCTTGAAAATAAAGCAGCTTTGGTTTGCTGGAACAGAAAAAGTAATTTCTGTAAATGTTTTTTTTTAAATTTAGTTCATCTCAAAATTTACAAGAAGTGACACTTGCATAAATTAAGCATCAGTGAGTGAGTGTGCATCTCAGGATGCATCTCCTAGACATGTAATATTTCTCTTGTTACAAGTGGCATGTAAGTGTATGAGCTTTCATGCCACTAAAGACAGAGTATATAGCTAAAAATAAGAAGATAATGTTCTTATTAACAGACAAATGAAAAAGATGTCTACTATATTATAGAATCTCCTACATATTTAGCTCATATCTATGGGAACAGTACTTTCAGAGTATTTTCAAGGCAACTACAGAAACTATAACCACTATCTTATACCTGCTACTTGTAAAAAACCAAAGGACAAAACCTCTCTCCACAAAATCCTAGATACAGGTTTTCTGTCTGTAGGACTTTTACATAAAGCCTCTGTGAGAGAGACATTGGACAAATGTTTTGCTAATGTCAAAACAATAAAATAATTCCCACTTTCCTCAATTGAGAGGAAACAAAAAAAGATTTTACTGTTTGGATTCTTAAATAAACAAGT